CCTTCCTGACTGTGTTCCTCTCCTGCCTGGATTACCCTTATTGTTCTCACCTGTCCCTCATTAGCCTGCCCATGTGTTCCTCATTTTCCCCGTGTATTTATACCTCCCTCCTTGTTGCTGTCCTTTGCCAGATCATTGTTGCTTGTAGTCCTTGTGTTTGGTTCCTGTCGTTCCCAGTCCTCCATTGAAACCATTTTACTTTTACTGAAGCCTGCATTTTTTACCTCCTGGTCAGCTCTACCACACATGGTCCGCCGTCATCCACACCTACAACGTGACAAAAATGTGATAAAAATTGTAGTTTTTACACAACGCATTGGACCTTTGAGTCTGAAAACCAGAGAGACACGAAGACTGTTGTGCTGTTACTGATGTTTTCCTTCAGGCTTGCCGTAGTTGTAGGAGAACACACAGGGGTTGTTGGGGGTTGGAGGAGAAAGGTGAAAGAAAGAAAGTAAACCAATGTTTTGAGATCCGTTTTTAGTTGACATAAACACCGTAAACATGCTTTCTTGACAACCCTTGTCATTGTGTCCAGGAAAAGTGAGGTGTTAATCGGCACTCGTTAACGCCTGTATGCTACCTGACGCAACTCTTGCCTCAATTTCAAGATTCTCACACGAGAGGAAATTGGGCTCATACTGGATCAAAATTGTACACTTGGCTTTATTAACTTTGGATCTTTACCGAACACTGCTGCGTTTTTGCACCTGGTGTGACATTACAAATGCTGGTGTTGCAGCGTTAGCTGGCGCAGACTCAACATCCCTGCAGGCTCACAGATTGTAAAAAGTAATTGCATCCTTCTTTAATTTTGTTTGAAAGGCGAAAAGTGTACCTATCAATTGACTTATTACCTATTGTACCTTTAGGTCACCATGGTAAGTTACCACACACATCTCTTCTGGCAGCCCAAATGAGTGGCATTAATGGACTACATATTCTGATTGTTTTTACCTTTTAGAAACCAAACCCTTTTGAATTAGAAAACACATTGGAATAAATACATCAAAATAAAGAAAAAAACTACATGAGATAAAGAAGTTAAATAATTTTCAATATATGTATGGATAGAATGTCACTTGAGGTTTTGAAACTTGAATATTTGATTCAAGAAGCTATTTTGCAGAGGTTTGAAATGGGTTGTGACACCAGTGTCACCACGGGTCCTTAAAGAGACAATGTGTAGTTTTTACCATTAATCTCTGTAAATATCCATCAGAATGTTGTTGAAAATGAATGAAATGTTGTCCAGTTGGTGAAAAATATTGGCAGCTTTGTAACATTCAACATAAAAATCAGTTCAAAAAATACATGGGAGCGGGTCTAAGGTGTTTCTCAATTACAAGGAACCTCGCCTTTACGTCTTGGTCCCGCCCCTGTTGCCTAGAAGATACGTCATCAGGAACCGCCAAGGCATGTTCCAATGTTCATGTTCTACCGAGGCGTTTGTTCTTCGTTTTTTTGTCGTTTAGCTATCTGAGCAAGGATGTTTGGGTTTGATCTCTGCACTCTGAGGTGATCAATGAGAAAACTATGAAAAAACTACCTTAGACATCTAGACAGGCCATAGAAGTAGCAAAACCATACCATACCATTATGTAGCGTGGTTACTACAAACTAGGTACAGCAGCAGATAAAGATGTTGTTCAGCAGACATCACGGCTCCTGGCGGGAAAATCTGTGGAGCAAAAGTTACGGCACGACCCAGCTTGACCCAGCTGGGAAAGTGTGACCTTTGTCACAAATTAGAGGCCATTCATGATGCTACACTACCATACCATACCATACCATACCATACCATAGTTTATTTATATAGCACATTTAAAACGCAGCATGGGAGCTTCCCAAAGAAGAAGAAGAAAATATCATGTCTATAGCGCCTCTCAAGATAAAAATCACGAGGCGCTTCACAAAAACAAAAAAAAAATTATGTAAAAATATAAAAAAAACATTTAGAAAATGTTTAAAAATATTTTAAAATGAGCAAAAATAGGCAATCGGGATTTAAAAGAAAAAATGTGAAGAAAGAGAGAGAGTGAATAGGAAAGAGGGAAATCAGTGGATCCTAAAGAAAGTGGAATAGGTGGGGAGAGCAGAATAAAGAGAGTGGTGAAGAAGGTCACACAAAAGCCAGCTTGAACAAGTGAGTCTTCAGCTGCTCTTTGAAGGACACCACTGAGTCCACTGATCTCAGGCTCAGGGGGAGAGAGTTCCAGAGTCTGGGGGCCACAGCAGCAAAGTGCTGCACAGCCTAAACCAAAACACAACCAATCTAAGCAACTAAAACAGAAGATAAAAATACGAATCAAAGGCAGATTAAACATGAGAAATACTGAGAACACATTAAAACACTAAAACGAGTCACTGTCTAAAAGCCAAATTTAAACGAAATTTAAAAACCATCACTGATGGAGCCTGACGAACTCCAGTGTGTAACGAGTTCCACAGCTTTGGGGCAGCATGTACAAATGCTCTCGATTTGTATCGCATCCGGGGGGTGCACAGCAGCAGGAGGTCAGATGACCTAAATGTGCGAGTGGGTACATAGGGAGTGAGCAGGTCAGAGAGATAAGGAGGAGCCAAGTCATTGAGTGCTTTAAATACAAAAGTCAATAACTTCAACTGTACTCTGAAAATGACCGGGAGCCAGTGAAGATGTGCCAGGACAGGGGTAATATGGCTACGTTGGTGCGTATTTGTCAAGAACCTGGCAGCAGCGTTCTGGACGACCTGCAGCCAATTCATGGCAGAGACCGGAGCACCAACGAGGAGGGTGTTTGCAGAGTCCAGGCGAGAGGTAATGAAGGCGTGGACGACTGACTCCAAATTTCTCCGTTTCGAAATTTGTCTGAGGCCAGCAAGGCGACAAAGCTGATAAAAGCAACGCCTCACTACGGAGTTGATCTGTGGGGCCACTGAGAGTTCAGCATCCAGCTTTACCCCGAGACTTGTCACGCACTGTTTGGGGTTGTTGAAGGTTAAAAGGTCAAAAACAGGGTAAGAGCCATGGTGGTTGCGGGGTCGATCTAAGAGTTAGCGGGATGATGCAACAGCGTGCAACAACAAAGATGGCGTTGGCTTGTTCAAAACGGCTTTGGTATCAACTTTGAACTGTTTAGACTTGGATTTTTCTATGAGTCAAGAGCAGGTAAAGGTCCTAATGTCCTTTATTTCGAAAAAGAATGAATTTGCGTCTTTTTCGACAGTGTATGGTGGACTACCCTGTAGTAGTGAGTACGTCACATTGTTCGTTGTCCAGCATGTGTAGACAGTTAGAGAAAACCATAGATCCTGCCGCACAACTGTGCTCGATGGGTCGTGGTCAGAGGTCGTGGTCAGAGTATATATTGATGTAGGATTGAAAAACATTTAACATTCTGTGAAAAATAATCTTAAATTACCAAATTAAAACCGTAATTGTGTGGAAAGCTTTAACAGACTCTGGAGATTTTGGTTCAGTCAGGTAAGATCCGACTTTCTGTGATCCATTTAAACAATTCTACTGTGAGTTACAGAGCCCCATTAGGCAAAAGAGATATTATCTGCTTAAGTAAGAAAACTTTCAGCTTCTTGGAAATAAGCAGAAAGAAACACGACAGAGGTATTTAGCTCTCTGGGAGAAACTCATGATAGAAAGAAAAACTCAGAGTTGTTTACAGGGAACCAGACTGATGCGTCTGACCCTCCCTGCTCCCTGAGTCATGGATGGCCACCAGATGGCGAGGACAGGCTACAAAGACTCCCAGGAGTCAGACAAGCTGGAAATAATTCAAACCAAAGCATCCGGTGAGGGGTTGCTTCAAAATAAGAGCAGTCTTGAAGAAGACGGTAAAACAGTTTTTATGTGTGCATGTATGTAATCAGAGAGTTGTAGGATTGATTCGGACTCTTAGCAGAGAATGCTGCTGTTGTGTCCTTGGGCAAGACAATTAACCCACCTTGCTGCTGGCCGGTGCCAGAGGGACCCATGTCGCCAGTGCTCGGCAGCCTCGTTTCCATATGTGCACCCCAGGGCAGCTGTGGCTACACTGAAGCTCATCATCACCAGCATGTGAATGTGTTTTGAAGCACCTTGGGGGAGGGGGGGGGGGGGTAGAACCCTAGCCTTGAAGGCACTAACTACATAAATGCAGGCCATTTACCCCCCCCCCCCCCCCCCCCCCCCCACACACACACACACACATACATACCCCCCACCCACCCCCACACACATTATACATATATATATATATATATATATATATATATATATATATATATATATATAGAGAGAGAGAGAGAGAGAGAGAGAGAGAGAGAGAGAGAGAGAGAGAGAGAGAGAGAGAGAGATCTACATATTGTGTCACTCATTTCAGGAGGTGAAATTATTTTAGTATCAATCAATTACACATAGAGTGGGATATTTAAAACTTTATTGTATTTGGATGATAATAAGATACAGATACTGAAAATTTACATCTCAGTAAAAAAATGAACATTGTGAACATGTTGTATATTGGAGACTGATGCTGCTGCACTATAATCAGTTAATGAACTCAAAACCTGCAAAGATCTCCTGAGTCTAGGTCAGTAAGCTACACAGTCATTGGGAACAAAGGAGCCTGGGCTTCCTTACACTTCAGCAGAGGCAGACTAACTCCATGCTGCACTCATGCAGTGATTCAAAAGAAGGCACAACTAACAACTGATGCACAAAAATTAACATAATTCTCAGAAGTCCAGATTTTTTTCTGTTTAAAATATCTTTGTCATTGGTCTTATGTAATATTGTAATTACAAAATTTAGATTTTTCTTATCTGCAAGCAATAATCACCAAAATTACAAAAATAAAGGCTTGAATTATTTCTGTCAGTGTAAAAAAAATAAATAAAATATGGATTTTCTTTCAGAAATTAGTGAACAATTATTGGACTTTTTCACAATATTTTAAAAGTTTAAACATTGCGCCAGCGCCATTCTCGACTTTGATTTTGAAAATCGTAAACCAGAAGTAGTGATGTACGTGATAATTATTGACAGTTTTTGTCTTCCTCTGCCCTTCTGCGCCTGAGTTACATACTGAAAACTGTGTTTTGGGTCAAGCTGCGGCTGGACTCTCGTGACACCGCTGTCCCGTCCGCATCTTTATCCGCATCCAGAGCTCCGGAAGCCCGCAGGAGCGGCAGCATGCAGGGCGCTCAGTGCGAAGGTTAAACGGGGCGCTGCCAGCACCCAGGCTCAGGGGTCTCCATTGTTTCCAAGCAAGACCCTAGGATTTTTTTACCCCCCTTTTTTTTTCTAAAAAAAATAAAATAAAATCTGCAAGTATTTCTTGAGCATGGAGCAAAATGGGAATAACAGCGAGGAGGAATCAGAGTGTGTTCAAGAGGAAGAGGTGGACCCTAGAATCCAGGTGAGACCATTGAAACCAGAAAAGTTTATTAACTGGGACAATTAAAATATAGTTTATACAGTAAAGAAATAAAGTGGATTTTATTGGGAATTACATTGTTTCACTTGAATACTGCACAGTTTTGATAAGTTTGTGAATAGAAGTCACATAATTCATCCCCCCACCCCATGTCTTCCCATGCATGTTGTGTTTCCTGTAAATAGGGAGAACTGGAAAAGCTGAACCAGTCTACAGATGACATCAACCGCTGTGAGAGTGAGCTGGAGGTAAGACGAATCTCCAAAAACACGGTCGCAATCATGACAACTCTTCCCCTGCTGGGGAAAACTTCCAGATCTTTTTGCTTCCAGGGAACATTTTAATCTCCACATTTAGAGCTACAGTTCCAGGTCTGGCTTCGAACAAACTCAGACTAGTTGTAGTTCTTTTTTTTTTTTGTTTGTTTGGGTTTACCAGAGTTTGCTAAGCAACACTTTAGATGCTTCGAAACACCCACTTCAAGATTTCCCACAAGCTTGTTCTGAGAAAATAAACTTGGAAAATCCTCTTGTAGCACCTCTGGGGCAACCCCAACCCTCAGCGTTCCTGTTATTCCTCTCCCTTTATTGTATTTGATGGCATTTAAAAGGCAAAGGCAGTAAACTTGAGTGAAACACGGATGAAAATACATTATGGAGGGGTTTTTATTGCTCTAGCTTGCATTCAGTTTCAGCAAAACCAAACATTCCAGAGCCGGCCGCAGTTTTTCTTTGCCTCTTCTGCTTCTCATTAGTGCTGCATTTATATCCAAACTCCATAATCCAGAGCTGGAGCAAACACAGCTGCAGGCGGAGGGGAAAGGGCTGGATTCCTCTGACTTAATCTAATTCCTCTATTTAAAACAATAATCTTGTTTTTACCTGCATGGTAATCACTTCTTTTATATTAACGCCGACACAAAGAAACCAAAAAGGGAAACAGAGAGACATCCTGGAGTTGGATGAGCTGCAGGCTAGCTGTTTTCTCTGCCCAATCTGGAGCACATTAAGTAGGATGTACACCAGATTGAGAGGAATTAAGAGAATTTCAGTCAGTGAGGTTAAATCTGTTTGTGACTCAGCCAACATAATCCCCTCCTTTTGGCCTAAACGAAAGCGTAAGGCTGCAAAAGACAGAGAGGACCATAAAAACCACCTAAAATCAGCATATGAGCTGAAAATGAGATAATTTGCAAAGCTGCACCACTCTTTCTGTACAGGAATGGGTTGACAGGAAGTGTCATGATGTCACAGGAAGCGTGCTTCCTGCAAGGACTCTGTCCCTCACCTCTTGCTTACTGCTCCATCAGTTTTTATGAACAGGATGCAGGTGTGGCCTTCCAAATCTCTGCAAAGTTCTGCAAACGTGTGCATGGATGCATCTTTACAGACACACACACACACCTGTACGTGCACACGACTCGTAAAAACATGAAAAATGAATTGTCATGGTTAAAGCTCAGTAATAACTGGAGAATCACATTTGTGATATTCTAAGCTCAAATAAAATTCTTGCATTTTGATGTTTAAAGGAAACCAATAGAAATGATAATGATTCTCCCAGTCGCTCATTAGGGTCACCATGGTAACGGCCTATTACATCAATAAGCCAGAAACAAAGAGTGCGTGTGTAAAAAGTAGGGATGGACAATATACCGGCATCAATATCGGTATCGGCCGATGTTAGTCGATTTTTTTACATATCGGTATTGGTCCGATAAATTAAACCGGGCCGATATGAAAAACCATTTTTTTCCCATCTTGTGGTGTGTGTACATAATAATTTAAATTCAGCTAGAATAAATTTTCATTTCATACAAATTTGCTGATTTTAGAAGCATTAATGTCAGTATATTAGTATCGGAAAATATCGGTTATCGGCCATAACAGTGATCTTAATATCGGTATCGCCCCAAAAATGTCATATCGGTGCGTCACTAGTAAAAAGTAAAATTTGTGGCTAAATTATTCTTGAACCTTGAGCAGCAGAAAAGGTTTGCTGTCACACATTTAAAGAGACAATCAGTAGTTTTTACAACGAATCTCTGGAAACATCCATCGAAATGTTGTTGAAAATGAATTAAATGATGCCAAGTTTTTGAAAAATACTGGTGGCTTCGTAACATATAGCCATACAAATCAGGTCTAAAATACATGGGAGAAGGTCTAACTCTATGGCAACGCCATATTAGACACCATATTTCCTCCTACAGGAGCCCATGAGGACAAAATGCATTTACTGATTTGTAAGAAATGGTTACAAAACTTTCTCCATTCATAAACATTTACCTCGTCACTCGTTGCCATGGAGGAAGGGTAGTCTGCCCCCTATCTCCAGGGAACATACACTTGGTCACTTTAAGATTCTAATAGACTTTTGCTTCCAGGTGTTAGGAGAAAATAACTGAACTCTGTGAGCTTGAGGGTGCACATTCTGAAAATAAAAAATGACAACATTTTGGGATTGACAAGAGATCATTTGTGAAATTTAAAAAATCTGACAGCTCAAAATCTTGGGAATGGATGTATTTATACGTGCAGGATTTCCGCCAGAGGTTTCGTGTTGTGCTGGTGGAAGCAACAGTGAAGCTGGACGAGCTGATGAAGAAGATCGGTCGAGCTGTGGATGAGTCCAAACCTTACTGGGAAGCTCGTAAAGTGGCAAGAAAGGTACACACACACACACACACACACACAGAAAGTGACTCTGAGGATGGCAGACACACACTGCGATGGCTGGCTTACTGAGGATTAGTAATAAGTTGGAAGAGCTGCCTATATCTACTTAAAGGGAGCAGTCACATGACAGCTATTTTACACGCTAATGTCATACATGTGCATACTGCCCCCCTTCCCCCTTCTGTGTGCTGGTTTCTAGATTTTTGTGAACGTTTTTATTCTCTCTGCACAGTTGCAGGTGGGTAGAAAACAAGACAACTTCCCCTGTGGTTAGAGCTCCTAACCATGTTGTCCCCCCTGCAGCTGGTTGTCTCTCCTGTTTGCTGAGACCTGACTGGATTTATCCTGAATGAGTTCAGCAGCGTTCCCGACTTAGACGGGAGTCAGGAAGCTCTGAGTCACAAATCAGAGAGCTGACATTTGTGTGTCGGCCTGGTCTGAAATAGACTCAGTGTGTGTGTGTGTGTGTGTGTGTGTGTGTGTGTGTGTGTGTGTGTGTGTGTGTGTGTGTGTGTGTGTGTGTGTGTGTGTGTGTGTGTGTGTGTGTGTGTGCACCCTCTGGTCAAACTAGAAAATTGCCTATTTATGATTTATGCATGAATGTTTCATATTTAATACTCAACCCATTTTGAAGGGCTACTGAAACGTCCTCTCTGACCTGCCAACAACCCCCCCCCCTACACACACACACACACACACACACACACACACACACACACACACACACACACACTAGATAAGCCACACTCATCCCCCCTCATGTCTTCTCCCCCTACATTCCAATCAGTCGGGTGTAGGTAGGTGGTGTGTAGGAATTTTCCTGCACCCAGCCATCATTCGTTTCTTGTTTTTAACCCACATTCTGCCTCACTGGGTGTCTGTCAGCACCCACGACTCACACCCCCACACTCGGTTTCCATCTCTTGTCTCAACCTCCCTTACCATGCTCCTGCAGCATCCACTAATGAGGATGATCTGAGTGGTCATGAGGAATACCACGTTCATATCTGCATGTTTCTGTGCCTTTCTAAGATCTCACGCTCAGCTGTTGCATACCTGGGTGTGAGAGCTGCTGCCTCCATGGGACGTCCTGGAGGTTGAGCGTCATTTTATTATCCCCGAGATGAAAACAGCAGTGATGCATGCAGCTCTTGAGTCTCTGTCCCAGCTCGGTCTCATCAAATATCCATCATCTGGTTTTCCTTGCAGCCCTTTTAGAGTCTGAGGAATTAGGAGCAAAGGTTAGGGTCAGGGTTTTTTAACCTCACCAGTCCTGCACAGCATCTCTAAGCCACACTAAACAGAAACACAAGAGGAGCTAGTGTTGGCACTTTCATTGTTTCGTCTCAAACAGTTGTGACCTTTGCTTCCTCGCGTCATCTCTGATGGCTTTGTCTTAAAGCAGGACTATCAGATGATTCTTTTACAGGGGTTAACACAACAGGACAACCACACAAACCTTCAAGAACTTGGTTAATTAAAGCCAGTATTAGATAATTATTTTGCTCAAAGTGATAAACATTCTAATAAACCCCTGATTATTAACCTGGAAAGTGCAAAGTAGACTGAAGTTTAGATTTCTAAGGCTTCAGCCGTGGCCAAAACAGAATGACATACAGGAAGTCTCGGCTCACAAAGTTTGCTGCGTCTGAGTTTTAGATCGGTTGGTCGGGGGATTACTGAGGTAGAATTGTAGCGTTTAGTAGGATTTCATAATAATTTTGTTTAAACAAAACACATCTGTTGTTCAGCCTGACATGCTCGCAATCAACTGCTGGTTCAACTTCTGACTGGTGACAGTCCTAGACCGTTGTTTGGTTTGACCTCTCTAGGCCACCGTATCAGTGAAAAGTGGTACTTTGCTCATAATTCAACACATTTCCGTAGTAATAAATAAATAGTTTTATCATTTTCTGTTTTACTACAGACAGATGCAGGAACTCACTTCCCATTTTCATGTCACACCTGAATTCAGTCTCTAACTTTCATTTCTTTTGAAGTTTGTGTAGTCACAGATTTCTTTTGGTCCTCAAAAGATTTTTTTTGTGAAGATGAAGTTCTATGTTAGTTTTGTAACCACTAAAACCACTTAGCACACCAAGTTTCCACATTATAATGACACGATATAGAAGGAAAAACCGGGTTGAGCCAGTACCCTGACCTTTCTGACTGCAGTGAGTGGGTCCAACTATGTCCAGCAGGGTGACGACAACAATCCCCCTATTGACTGAGCGTGAGCAGGAAGAGCCCACTGACCACTAGGCAGATTTCCTCGGAGGCAAAGACGTGGTTGTTATTCTGTTGGAGTGGTTTGGAGTAAATGTGCTGAAAGTTCACTCACATTACAAACAGCACAGAACTAGAGCAGCAGAGAGCAACGACTTGGCTCTTTGTCACCGTGCTTCGGCTAAAACGTATGTTTTAATGCGCCAATGAGTACAAAATCCTCTTGTCTAGCGTTATCTTTATCCTCAGTTTGTTGTGACGCAAGTTTTGTATGTCAGATATTTGATTTTTTATCTGATTTGGTGCTAAATACTGATAAGGTCGTTGTAGTGGGGGATTTTAATATTCATGTGGACATTGAAAATGATAGCCTCAATGCAGCCTTTAGTAATATCTTAGACTCAATTGGTTTTACTCAAAGAATACATAGCTCCACCCACTCCTGCCATCATACATTGGACCTTGTGCTGACTTATGGCATTGAGTGTGAGGAAATAATGATCTTTCCACATAATCCAGTCCTCTCGGACCACTTTCTGATAACCTTTGAGTTTTTTATAACTGAGTTCTCGAGACATGAAAGTAAATTTCACTATAGTCGGTCTCTATCTGACAACGCAGTTGCGTCTTTTAAATCAACTGTTCCATCTTTACTGTCCTCAGCATCTCAGAGGCATGTAGCAGAGGGCAATATTTTCAGTTCTAGCCCCTCACAAATTGATGCCTTAGTTCATCATGTTAATTCCTCTTTACGTGTGGCATTAGATGATGTTGCCCCTTTAAAAAAGAAGGTAATTAGGGACAGGAAGTTGCATAACTGCATTAGTGAGAGTTACAAATGATATTCTCATGGCCTCAGATAAGAATCTTGTGTTTGTTCTAGTCTTGTTAGATCTCAGTGCTGCCTTTGACACAGTTGATCACTATGTTCTTTTAGAAAGACTTGAACATGTTGTAGGGATCAAAGGAACAGCACTAGGCTGGTTTAAATCCTACCTGTCTGACAGATTTCATTTTGTAAACGTACATGACAAATCGTCTTCATACTCCAGGGTTACTTGCGGAGTACCACAGGGTTCAGTGCTTGGACCAATTCTTTTTACTATATATATGCTCCCAATTGGTAAAATCATTAGACAGCATGGGATAAACTTCCACTGTTATGCTGACGATACTCAGTTATATTTATCCATTAACCCTGATGAACCTAATCGGCTGGGTAGATTACAGGCTTGTCTTGAGGACATAAAACATTGGATGACTCTAAACTTTTTGCTTTTAAATCAAGACAAGACGGAAGTTCTCATCTTTGGACCAGAAATCCAGAAAAGGAAATTGCTTAGCGAATCGCCTGACCTTAATGGCATTACATTAATCTCCGAGAACAAAGCAAGGGACCTTGGTGTTATCTTTGACCAGGACATGTCATTCAAATCCCAGGTTTCACAAGTTTGTAGGATTTCCTTTTTCCACCTTCGGAATATTGCTAAGATTAGAAGCATACTTTCCAGGAGTGATGCTGAAAAACTAGTTCATGCATTTATTACATCAAGATTGGATTACTGTAATTCATTACTCTCAGGAAGTCCACAGAATGTAGTTAAAAGTCTTCAGCTTGTCCAAAATGCTGCAGCTAGAGTTCTGATGAGAATTAAAAAGAGAGATCATATCTCTCCTGTCTTAGCTTCCCTACATTGGCTACCTGTTAAATTCAGAATAGATTTTAAGATCCTTCTTCTCACATATAAAGCTCTTAATAATCAAGCTCCATCATACATCAGTGATCTGATTGTTCCATACGTTCATAAACGAGCACTTCGCTCTCAGACTGCAGTTCTACTGGTGGTTCCAAGAATATCTAAAATTAGGATGGGAGGCAGATCTTTTAGTTATCAGGCTCCTCTCCTGTGGAACCAGCTCCCAGCCTTAGTCTGTGAGGCAGACACTTTGTCTACTTTTAAGACTAGGCTTAAAACATTTTTATTTGATAGGGCCTATGGTTAAAATCTGATGTAAGCCTAGATCTGGACAAGTGGGAGAGTAGAGGGAGGTGAAGTGTACATGCGGTAAAGACGGCTCTCCCTTGCCCTGCCTCCAACATGCCTCCATCTAAATAGGATAGATTATCCAGAGTTATCTCTGTAGTTATGCTGCTATAGGCTTAGACTGCTGGAGGATACACTGACCACTTCTCACACTCTACTGCTTTATTCTACAGTCTGCTCTTTAACTGTACTATTTTGTCCAATTTCAGCTGTTAACTTTATTTTCTCTCTAAGTGTTTTTCTCCCCAGAAGATGCGACAATGACTTTCTGCTGAGCTGTGGTGGCCTCATGGAGGGGGCCATCGTCTATCACACTGCTGCTAACCACTTAAACTTTCTCTCTCTCCTGATAATAACTTTTTGGTTTCCTTGACTTTTGATGTGCTAATACTAGTTTATCCGTTTAATTAGAGATCCACTAGGATAAATACAATAAAGTTTATCTTTCACCAAATAGAATATTTACTAAGACATCACAATATAACTGTAGACACATTACTTGTCCGTGTGTGTGTGTGTGTGTGTGTGTGTGTGTGTGTGTGTGTTTGTGTGTGTGTGTGTGTGTGTGTGTGTGTGTGTGTGTGTGTGTGTGTGTGTGTGTGTGTGTGTGTGTGTGTGTGTGTGTGTGTGTGTGTGTGTGTGTGTGTGTGTGTGTGTGTGTGTGTGTTCTGTCTTCTCGATCCCCAGTGAGTCGTGGAGGATGGCTGCTTATACTGAGCCAGGATTCTCTGGAGGTTTCTTCCTGTTAAAAGGGAGTTTTCCTCTCCACTGCTGCTTTATGCTTACTTAGTATGAGGATTGCTGTATAGTCACTGACACTAGTCAGTGACTTGATGCAATTTGCTGGGTTCCTTATATAGGAAACATTATTTCTGATTGGCTTAATGAACTGACCTGAATTGGAATTTTTATTATGTGATGTGCCTTGAGACGACTCTTGTTGTGATTTGGCGCTATATAAATAAACTTGAATTGAATTGAATTGAATTGAATGTAACAAAAGTTACTAAGTAGGAAGCGAGGAACATGTATTATCTTACCTGCTGTAGATAGTTCTGGCTACTGTGGAGCCGATACCTCAGCGGCCTCATTTATCAAGCTTGCTAACGCACAAAACGGGGTCGGAAAACTGCGTAAGCAACTTTCCACGCAAACTTTGGGATTTTTGAAAGAAAACTTAGCAGAAAAATGTGCGCAACTTTACGTTGACTAAGGACCTGGCTTACACACATGTTGGACATGGAGAGCACCTGCAGTGCTGCTGCTGAGAAGATACAATTATGAAATCCTGCAGCATTATCACTTGTACTGCTTCTTTCACACAGAACAAGACCCCCCACATGCATGCACGCACACACACACACGCACACACGCACACACACACACACACACAGCCCGAAGTGCAGAATACGGAATGCAGAATATCAGCAGGGGGTCAGATTGAGACATAATGTCATGCGTCTGTGACAGTGTGTGTCCTGTCACTGTGACCCGATTGATCATCCACCCTGGCTGCTTGGACAAAGGAGATCTCCGTTTGGCTGTCTGGTTAGTGTGCGTGACTTTCACCTGGGAGTCTGGGAATTGAATCCGGTTGGACCATTTTTTAATATCCGCCACAGATCTCTCTGAAGAATTCACAACATTGACGGCTTCAGCAACGCTGTGCCACTCCGTGGATTTTCTCTTATTTGTTTTGCAAAAGCACTTCCTTTCATTTCTCCACCTCACCCACAAGTACCTCAACTTCTGCTTCTGTGAAATTGCGCTTCTTTGATCTGCCTTGATCTACGGTCGCCATCGTCATTGGCGGAGCGCTGCAACAGACGGCTTATGTATACGCATGAGATCCACAAGGCACTTTGCATTGACTATTTGTGGCAGTAAGTGGGCGTGGTGAGGGCGGGATGTGAATAAAAAGCAGCTGAGAAACATTCTAGATAGTTTCTGATTTTTGAAGCGGAGATTGCGTGCAGCTGTGCATACTCCATGTTTGATAGATCACAAACCTGCTTGGCGTAAGTAAAAATTTTTTTTGCTGAGCTTAAGTACGGTTTTAGTAAGGATTCTACGCAATGTTTAATAAATGAGACCCCAGGTCTTTAAAATCCTATATTTCATGTAATGAATAAACCTTTACTCATCCTCTCCACTGGATGCGTAAAATAGGTAATAGACACGTTTTAACTCAGCGATGTCACCCATAGGATTCTGAAGAGCTGAATTGAAGCCCAGTAGGACGCCATCAGTCATCTGTCTCACTACTCTTGGAAAATACAAAATTTTAGCTGGGAGCGCAACTGTGAGGGTGGGGAAGGTGATTGACTCCCATCAACCTCTAGGCCAATGTAGCTACGAGCTAACTAAGCTAACCAAAGCTAATGGCCATTGGCGGGCGCCTTCTAGGCTGTAACACTAGCGCTAGTGCTAGCACTGACAGATCATCAGCTTCCTGTAACTCAAAAGAACACGCCCCTAATTATTCATAATTTCAGGCTTTAACTATACATAAACATATGAGTTACAAAAGATGTATCCCCCTCAGATCTGCCATGACAGTGAACTAGATCATCAACTAAACCTAAAGTTGCTTTTTGAACCATGATGTAAACGTGTCATTTCTGCTGTGAGGTTGGAAGTTTTCACATGGGAGTCAATGAGAAACTTGCTCCTTTCTGCTCCTAGTGGACAATGAGAAAACTGCACTTTTTGGCACTTCCACGTTGGCTTCACTTTGGGTAGGCGGAGGTTGCCCCTGTGAGTTCCCTTCTCAACTGGAACATTTCAGACACAAAACAGCAGCAAAAGCCTTCCACACAGCTGGTTCTGCAGGATCACTAAATCACTGCAGAAGACCACGCGTGATTTCAGCCGCTCACGCAAAAGACCGCGTTACTTATATCCAAAAAGGTCTGTGGTGTATTTTCTGTTCTGTTTGTGATGGCTGCGGAGGTTTGACAGGAAATCACTTACTTAATTTATTTTTACTAATTTAGCAACTGGAAATCTGCATGTGACTTTTATTTAGAGGGTTGCCGGATGTTTTACACTGCTTTTGTGTTTTCCTTACTGTCTGGCCTAATCTGAACTACTGAGTTTGATGCCTTCTGGAAGCATAGCACGTAAAAATAGACTCAAAGCGTGAGCAACGCATCCCTATGCTTCTGGTATGCTCCCAAAACGCAATGCTTCGCAGCTGTTGGAAACGCATCCGTCCACAGCTAATTGCTGCGTACTACAGTTTGCGGATACTAACGCTCCGGTGGAAAGGCCTAGTTAGGCTGCCATTTCTTTTGCATGACATGGTTTTTCTTTCAGAAATAAACTGAAATGTTTTTAATTTGGACATGCTACAGACAACTAGCGCTGCTGCTAATTACCATAGGTGTCTATGTTTATAGCCATGTTATGCTATTTAGAAAACAACACCAGCATGGGCTGCCATGACAGTTTTGAGATGAGAGTAAATGACAGAAATTATTATTGTAACAATCTTGTCTGAGCTAATCTCTGTTTCTCCAAACTGAGGCTGTTTAAAGAAAATATATTTTTATATTTTGTCACAAAAACTTACATTAACCATTTGACCGATCCCTTATAAATGTGAGTAGAGGCCCCGCATCAACATGTTTAGGGATAGAAATGTTTTAAATATATATTTAAGAACATTTTAGCTTTAATCATCAAAATTGTAAACAGATAAACAGATTTTTTTTCAATAGTAAAACCACAAGTTTATTATTATTTTGCATAAACACGGCGTGTTCCCAAGCTAATTATTTATTTTTATTTATTTATTTATTTATTTATCTCAAACCATCGAAAACATGAAATTGCATATGCACTCCCCCATATTCCTGGTGCATACAATTTTTTTTTTAAATGAGGAATACGATAAACATATGCTGTTGAATGAAACAATACAAAACATACAATAACATAAAACCATTTGAGAGGGAACTGGAAGAAGCAAAAGCTTATCTAGTCCAGCCCCAATTCAGTTAATAAATCACATTTGCTCACATTAACAAATTTGAAAGAAAAAAACTTTTCTTTATGCAGGTCGTTCTATGTTCACCTTGCTAGTTGCTACATAAAAAGACAGTTACAAAACAATTGTTCACATGAATCTACAGAAAAAGAAAACAAAACCAATAAACAACAAAAACAAAATATTCCATTTGAAGCCTATTACCATTTTTATCACTTGCTATTTATGTATGAGTCAATTATAAGTTGTCATCTTACGGTGGAGTTTTTGTTTTCCAAGCTCGTCTCTAATGAGTTATAACTACGAGCACTTTCTCTCTGCAGGCCCAGGTCGAAACCCAAAAGGCCACTCAGGAGTTCCAGCGGGCGGTGGAGATCCTGCGGGCGGCCAAGGAGACCATCGCCTTGGCAGAGGAGAAACTTCTGGAGGAGGACAGTCGCCAGTTTGACTCAGCATGGCAGGAAATGCTCAACCACGCCACACAGAGAGTGAGTCCACAGAACGGCACATCCTCTTGATACTGTCACGGATCAAATAAATCCTCTGTTCTGCTCGTTTCAGGTGATGGAGGCAGAACAAGCGAGGACGCGGAGTGAAGCTGAACACAGGAAAACAGCCGCCAACTATAATTTGTGCATCAGCCGCATGAGGCAGCTGGAGAAGAAGCTGAAGCGCTCCGTAAACAAATCCAGGTCTGGAGTGGTTCTTTCCTTATGACTGGCTGGAAATGCTTCGCCCTGCGTGGGCCTCTGGTTATGTGGTGGGAAAGAGGGGCCATGCTTGTGACTTGATGCCGTCCAGATGTTTTATGTGTTGGTCAGCTCGTGATGGGGTGTGCTCCCTTCATAAGAGCTGAGGAATGTGACTGGAGGGAATGTTTCTCCTTTTTCTCACCCTTCTCCTTCTTCCCCTGCAGACCCTATTTTGAGCTGAAAGCCAAATATTATCTGCAGCTTGAGGTATGCACTGAAATGTTGTGGGTTGTAGATTTGGGATGAACAGTAAAGTGTCTCACAAATGTTAGAAAAACTATTTCCCATAGATAGTATTTTTTTATATTAGCTGACTTTTCGCAGCAACTGAAGCATCGCGTGGACGAGCTTCAGGCCAAACTTGTGTCTGCCAAGGCCGAGTACCGTTCAGCGTTACGTAACCTGGAGAGCATCTCCGAGGAGATCCACGCCCATCGGCGCTCCCTGGCTTTGGGAACCAGAGAGCAAGGTGTTGGTGCCGAGGTGGACGAGGCAAACGAGGACATCGCCAACTTCACCATGGACTCAGACGGCCTGTCGAGTATGTTGAATAGTCCACCTCTTCATCATTTCCTGTGTCGTTTAGTTGCCTTTGTGTGTGCGTGCATGTTCAATGTTCACATCCGTGTGTGTTTCAGTGGTGTCAGTGTCAGTCGATGAAGAGGGCAGTCAGAGCTCTGAGGAGGAGTTGGACACTCGCAGCACCTCCTCGTGCCAACCGATGCCCTCCTCTCCCTCCTCCTCCACCTCCCACCCCTCCACACCTGCCAGCACATCTTTCCCCTATGTCTTCCCCTCCTCCCCCTCGATCTCCTCTTCCTCCTTATGTCCCGACGGTCTGGATTTAGTGAGCCCTTGCAGCTCTCACAGCCCAGACTCGGTGCACGGTTCTGGGCACACCTCACCCCTCCTGGGCCCCCGCAGCCAGTGCAGTGGAGCCTCCTCTCCAGACTGTGACCAGGAGAGAGGTGTGTGAGACTCATGAGCAAATGCTGCTGGAGAAGGTTAATGGAAGGGTTAATATCTCACTTGTTTTTATTCACTTTCTGAATGACTTCAGTTTGGAGAAATAGAGATTAGTTCTGATTGGATAGATGAGCTAACAGCTAGTCAAAGAGAAAGCACTCCATTTTATTATTAACTTTGCTAGCCCACTAGATATTATTATTTTTAGTTAATTATATATTATATATGTGTGTGTGATTTTGTGAAAAAGCTTGACAAAATGTGTTTTTTAGTTGGATAAACACCTTCCTCAGCAGAAATGAATGCCCTGGGGGCGAATGGAGACCCATCTAAGATGGCGGCCAGCCACTACGGCAGCTCCAATAGGTAGCACCAGTCTGTAGGTCTGCGCTTGGGATTGTGGCTTCATCACCGACGCGACGCGCCCATGTTGGCGGCCTCCAAGTCCTTACTTGTTGCTTGTTACTCTAGAAAACAGCGCGCTCAGTTTCGTTTTTGCGGCTTAATTTGATCGGTTATTCATTTGATCGGTTATATTATGCAACCATGGTAAACCATTGCTGTGTTGTAGGGTGCAACACGTGATCACTGGGGGACAAACGGTAGAAAACAGGCTAACTTTTCACCATTTCCCTGCTTGGAGGAAGTATCTAACATAAAAGTCTCGTTGGCTCGCAGCTGTAAGGCGACCAAACATCACCTTACAGAGTATTTTCATTCTGGTAAGTTACAGATGGTGTACGCTTCTTTATACGATGTTTCTTCAACCGTGACATGTACAGTGGTGTGAAAAACTATTTGCCCCCTTCCTGATTTCTTATTCTTTTGCATGTTTGTCACACAAAATGTTTCTGATCATCAAACACATTTAACCATTAGTCAAAGATAACACAAGTAAACACAAAATGCAGTTTTGAAATGATGGTTTTTATTATTTAGGGAGAGAACTAAATCCAAACCTACATTGCCCTGTGTGAAATAGTAATTGCCCCCTGAACCTAATAACTGGTTGGGCCTCTCTTAGCAGCAATAACTGCAATCAAGCGTTTGCGATAACTTGCTACGAGTCTTTTACAGCGCTCTGGAGGAATTTTGGCCCACTCATCTTTGCACAACTGTTGTAATTCAGCTTCATTTGAGGGTTTTCTAGCATGAACTGCCTTTTTAAGGTCATGCCATAGCATCTCAGTAGGATTCAGGTCAGGACTTTGACTAGGCCACTCCAAAGTCTTCATTTTGTTGTTCTTCAGCCATTCAGAGGAGGATTTGCTGGTGTGTTTTGGGTCATTGTCCTGCTGCAGCACCCAAGATGGCTTCAGCTTTAGTTGACGAACAGATGGCCGGACATTCTCCTTCAGGATGTTTTGGTAGACAGTAGAATTCATGGTTCCATTCATCACAGCAAGCCTTCCAGTTCCTGAAGCAGCCAAACAACCCCAGACCATCACACTACCACCACCATATTTTACTGTTGGTATGATGTTCTTTGTCTGAAATGCTGTTACTTCTACGCCAGATGTAACGGGACATTTGCCTGCCAAACAGTTCAACTTTTGTCTCATCAGTCCACAAGGTCTTTTCCCAAAAGTCTTGGCAATCATTGAGATGTTTCTTAGCAAAATTGAGACGAGCCCTAATGTTGTTCTTGCTTAAAGGGACTTTACGGAGTTTTGAATTTTTATGCTCGTGATTGCCCCCTCTGGCCAAAAGCGTAACGGCAGCTTCAATAGGAGGCTCGTGCACGGGGCGCGCATGCTGTACGTGCACACTCCTTAACGAAAATAACGGCTCTGAGTGCTGACAGTCCCTTGTGTGTGTGTGTGTGTGTGTGTGTGTGTGTGTGTGTGTGTGTGTGTGTGTGTGTGTGTGTGTGTGTGTGTGTGTGTGTGTGTGTGTGTGGCCCGGAGGACAGAGGACAGGAGAACGTGCAGCTAGTTAATTAAATAATTTGGTTCTGTACCTTTCTCTTCAGCACAGCCGACAAAGGTTTAAGATGGGTCAGTCCTCCTGCATGCTCAGACCATTCCCTTCCCTTGCTTGAAAAATTGTTCCAAAATGAAAGTTGAACCCACATCTTTTTTATCTGTGAATTCAATGCCGTTCGACGAGTCTCAAATAAAAATTTGGGCATCTAACTGTTCTCACCCCGAATCAAACCCAGGTCTCCTGCATGAGAGTCTGACGTCTTACTAGATGAGCTAAACCACCACTGACATATTTGGTATCTGTAACATTTATATCCTTGATGACAGCTGAAACAACATTCAAAGAACGGTTCGGAGCGAAAATGGCTATTTTGTTGCTAATTTGCAGGAAATATCTAGAAGAAAGTAGCTAAGGGTCCTCAGAAATGTAGCTAGGTTCATCACTAGGCGTTAGGAACAGCGACAAAGTCGCTGAGTTGGCACTGCCTCCCTCTCTGCTGCTAAAGCTACGGATAGCAAATGCTACGGGCTATGCCTGAGCGTGAACGCGCATGAAGCAGCCTGCTCGACCCGAGCATCTCTCTTTTTCTGTGATTTTACAGAAAAACAGGCAATCACAGTAAAAATGCCAGGGCTCATTCTACAGGACCAGGGCATTGCAGGAGAATGTATGAAGAAGACATTTATTATTTCTATACATGTTTTGGCTGTCAGACTTCCATAATGCCCCTTTAACTGTGGTTTGCATCTTGGAAATCTGCCATGCAGGCCATTTTTGCCCAGTCTCTTTCTTATGGTGGAGTCGTGAACTTTGACCTTAACTGAGGCAAGTGAGGCCTGCAGTTCTTTAGAAGTTGTCCTGGGGTCTTTTGTGACCTCTCGGATGAGTTGCCTCTGCGCTCTTGGGGTAATTTTGGTCGGCCGCCCACTCCTGGGAAGGTTCACCACTGTTCCATGTTGTTGCCATTGGTGGATAATGGCTCTCACTGTGGTTCGCTGGAGTCCCAAAGCTTTAAAAATGGCTTTATAACCTTTACCAGACTGATAGATCTCAGTTACTTTTGTTCTCGTTTGTTCTTGAATTTCTTTGGATCTTGGCATGATGTCTAGCTTCTGAGGTGCTTTTGGTCTACTTCTCTGTGTCAGGCAGCTCATATTTAAGTGATTTCTTGATTGAAACAGGTGTGGCAGTAATCAGGCCTGGGGGTGGCTACAGAAATTGAACTCAGGTGTGAAACACCACAGTTGGGTTATTTTTTAACAAAGGGGGCAATTACTCTTTCACACAGGGCAATGTAGGTTTGGATTTTGTTCTCTCCCTAAATAATAAAAACCATCATTTCAAAACTGCATTTTGTGTTTACTTGTGTTATCTTTGACTAACGGTTAAATGTGTTTGATTCAATTCAATTCAAGTTTATTTATAAAGCGCCAAATCACGACAAGAGTCGTCTCAAGGCACTTCACATAATAAACATTCCAATTCAGGTCAGTTCATTAAACCAATCAGAAATAATGTGTCCTATATAAGGAACCCAGCAAATTGCATCAAGTCACTGACTTAGTGTCAGTGACTTTACAGCAATCCTCATACTCAGCAAGCATAAAGCGACAGTGGAGAGGAAAACTCCCTTTTAACAGGAAGAAACCTCCAGAGAATCCTGGCTCAGTATAAGCAGCCATCCTCCACGACTCACTGGGGATGGAGAAGACAGAGCACACACACACACACACACGATCAGAAACATTTTGTGTGACAAACATGTAAAAGAATAAGAAATCATGAAGGGGGCAAATAGTTTTTCACACCACTGTACACACACACACACACACACATACCGGTAAGCTAATGCAGGTACACTGACACACAACACAACTTCTACTGATGCTCTTCTCCTGTGGGATGACACTTTTGATTGTTTTACTAGAAAAAACAGCAAATGAGACGTTTACCTCTCATCCAGACATTTACATCTGCTCACACCATGAACCAGTTGGCCAAAAATGTCCGTCGTGCAGAACTGTTGTCGCCAGTGATCCTCTTTATTATGGATTCATACCGTTCATATCATTGATTTTGTTCATACCAGTTCCTGACGTCTTTATTTAACCTCTCCCTGTATTTTCCGCTCCCATTTGGACCTTTAACATGTTGTTTAACACTTCCTTTCTCCCATATCTGCTTCTCTGCGATGTATCGTTTGGTTTTACGCTTTGTTTACGGTAAGGCCATCAACATGTCTGCGCTCATCCCAGAATGCCACATCCCAAGCCCTATTTCATAACATTCTTGCCTAAATTAAATGTAAACTTATAAAGTAGCGTTTGTATGGATGTGCTACGTAGTTTTTGAGATTGGAGGGTTTATTTGACACACATTCTGACAGTCAGAACTAATCTCTGTCTCTCTAAACTGAGGTTGTTGAATTAGCTGTAGAGAATCCTCCTCAGAAGGTCTGAACATTTAACATGTTTCTATGAAGCACTTAGTGGGTTTTTTACACACACCTATCTCTTTTTCACTGTCGTAAACAGTGATGACAATAACGCTGTTTAAAATAACGGCGTTACTAAAATGAATTGTTTTTTCAGTAACGAGTAATCTAATTAAAGAGCAAGTCACCCCCTACCAGATTCTTACTCAACTCCCTCTTCCTGTTAGAAAAATGCAACAAATGCTGTTGCCTAGCAGACCGAGAGGGCGTAGCCGCTAACAAATACACACACATACACTACACACACACACAGGCTCACAACGACATTGTGACATCATATGGTACCAGCTAACATTCTATGGTACCCCTTAGCCAATAGCGATGGCAGATTTAAATTCAAATGCAGTGCAGAAATTTTACCTGATGATGGCACAATGACAGTTTTAGCCAGAAAATTTAAATTTTAACTAAAATGCACTAAAGTGCAATATTGACTACACGTGTCTGCAGCACGATAATAGGTGCATTTATATAGTTTATCAGAAAAAAAAAAGTTGATTTGGGGGTGACTTGCTCTTTAATGACCGTCTTATCATAACGCCGTTTCTATTACTGATAAGAAAATTAGTGTGTTACTAATTCAGCAGTGCGGTGTGTTGAATTATTCAGTTTTATAAAAAACATTTGGACATATATTTTATTATGTTCCAGTCATTAGTCTTTTATATTTCAGTATTGTAGTAATTTATAGTAAATTAATAAGTTTAATTAAGAGGGGAAACCATTTTTCTTGCATTCTTTAATGAAAAAAAGTAACAACATAGTTATTTTCTTAGTAATTAGTTACTTTTATAATCTTGTAGCTCAGTAAGTAACTGAGTTACTTATTTGACAAAGTAATCAGTAACTATAACTAATTACTTTTTTAAAGTAGCTTTCCCAACACTGGTCATACAGTAAATACCGTATATTCACAGGGTACACATTTACAGAATAAATCTAAAGGATACCTTTGTGGTTTTAAAGAGGATGGCTTGTCTGAATGTATTAAAAGCTCTCAGCTCTTTTGTTTACTTCAGTTAAAAACAGTAATGTTTGCACAACAAACATCCTTGGTGAAGCAGTCTAAGACAGTCCCAACGTACTTTATTAGTGTCCATGCTCTGGCTAGCTGTTAGCTTGTTAATCTGGTCAGAATTCATCTTTTTGCATCTGTTGTTGCTCAAAATGTACAATATAAAAAATATACATTTTTAATATTATTTTTCTTCTTTCCACAAAAATGTTTGTGTCATGTAACAAACTAGAGTTTGCTTGTTCCTGGTTAAAAACAGATTTAGTAAGTGGTGTGTGTGTGTGTGCGTGTGTGTGTGTGTGTGTGTGTGTGTGTGTTGCAGGTGACAGAGCAGAAGGGGCGGAGGTGACATTAGAGGACAGTCTGAACAAGCTAACCTTGACTGTTGCACAAGTCTGTGAGGACGAGGACGATCCTCATCCCGCTGACTCTGGTGTGTCCTTCCCCAGCTCTGCCTCCACCGTCCTGTTACTCAGCAGTGTCTCACCCTGAACACTAGCTCTCCCCAGCTCTGAGTGTTAACTCCGTTTGCAGAGCAGAGTGAAAGCAGCAAGACATGAAGCTGCATGTCTTTGTGTAAACATCAGCATTGTCACATGAAAGGGGGTGCATTAAATGTCAGAATAACCTTGTTGGACAGACCGCAGAAGCACGTGGACATGTAAACAAATCGGTTTGGGGGAAAGGCAATAGGTGATCTGTTTTTTTTTTCTGCAGCATTAAAGCTGGTGAAGGGCTTTGACGAAACTCCAACCCTCGTGAGGTAAAGACGGTCTGCTGATGGACTGGTTTTCTTCCACTCTGCATTTTCAAAGATGTTTTGTGCCATTAAGTGTCTTGGTGTTGTGGAGAGGCGACACGTAGAGCTATGCATTGATCCACATCTACGTAGCAAACATTAAACCCAGATTTTCTGGTTCCACATGAACAAATGGACAGAAACAAAGCTCACAGTGTGGATTCTTGGGAAAGTATGAAGGAATCGTTCAGCGTGCGAGCCGCTCTGAGCACTAACATTATGACTAAACATTGATCGTCCTTTTGGATTTGTTAAAGAGTGAGCGAATGTGTCGGTGAGTGCAAAGTTCAAACCCTAATCTCAGGTTTGTCTGTGTGGCTGAGTGAATGATTTTACAAGAGTAGTTTGTTTTTGTCAAACGTCCCATGATTTCCTCGCCGCAAAGACATTTATACTCATGTAGTCCTGTGTATGTATTGTGTTCTGGTGTTCATGTTATTATTTTTTAACACAAAAAAGAATTAAATGTTTAAAACCGTTTTCCACCAAATCTCTCCTGGACTTGGACCAGAACCCTGAGTCACTTTTTTTCAGCAGATGTGTTATTTATCTCATAAAATAGAGTTTGCTGACATTTGTTTGAGTATTCACTCTTCTAATTTAACAAATCATATTTTCCACGGCTGCAGTTAAACTGGCCCACACCATGTTACCACCACCCCCATGCTTGGCAAAGAGACTGGTTTATTTATAAAGTAAGAAAGGTTCAGGCAGGTTTTATGTCTATGATCATGACTTGCACTTTCCCAGAATGTGGTCTTTGATGCATTAAATCTCCAGTTTTCTAATTTAAGAACAGACATTTGAATTCTGTCTCATTTGATCTCAATCACATTGTTGCTTACTAGGCAACATAATCCGTCACGCCGCGGACTGCACTTAGAGCCCAGCCTCACACCTGACTAGGTGAGGAGCAGAACGACTCAGTTCATGTCTCCTGTTGTCCTCTTCGCTCTGATTTCATCCTTCAGTTCCTGTAATAATATCTGTGCCAGGTTAGCTTTACCAAGGTCTCAAAGACTGAACAGTAATAACAAATATCTTGTCAGATGCTGACATCTAGTGCTGACTTTTGCAGGTTCACACGCAGCAAAAAGTGGAGTTTTACACAAAGCTGATCGTATAGAACTATCAAGATATCAATGTTAGACTGTACCGAAGAGACGTTTGTTTGAAATCTATTACTCTGTGAGTCCTCCCGTATTCCTGATAGGGTCAGGTAGTCCCCAGATGTTTTGTTTTTCTTTTGATTATCATTACCATTTCCTAGTTTCTTCACTAATCCAGATATGGTGGATCCTCCAACAAGCATTTCATATATGTATAATGTATATGTTATATAAGTTCATATAAGCATGATTTCCCTGTGCATATGAATGCATCCCAGTTCTAAAATCTTGTTCCAATGTACACAAACAGAAAGATTCAATGAACTCTGTTCACTCATTAAATAAATTACAGATTAATCCAGATAAAGACAAAGTTTATTATAAGAAATTTAGAGAATATATGTTCATTTAGAAATTGCGATATATACAAACGTAGAAACACTACTTGGTATAAATGAAATAGACTCAGTGTGTGTGTGTGTGTGTGAGTCTGGTCTGCCTTCTCAAACCTAGTGAGTCATGCCAGATAGCTGCTCATACTGATCCAGGTTCTTCTTCCTGTTAACGGAGAGTTTTCCTCTCCACTGTCACAACATGCTTGATTAATTTGGAGATTGCTGTAAAGTCTCTGAGACTAGTCTTGATGCAATCTGTTGCATTTCCTTATATAGAAACCTGTTACGTCTCCGACAGGAGATGTTAAAATGTGAAGGAGGGGGTAACATAAGAAATGTGACAGTGGAGTTTAAAATGGTTTTATTTGTAGTAAAATATTCTAAAAACGAGCAAACAGATGGTGAGCCTTTTAAAGATAATGCAAAAACGAACAAAAACTCAAAAGGTTAATATTACAAGACAAATTATCAACATTAAAACACCTGGTTAAAACTTTGTTAAAAGTTTTACCGCAACGAAGGTGTTCTAAAAGCACAACGAAGTTGATAAAAGTCAAACAATCTACTGACTAAAACACCTGGTAAAAACTTACATTTACCAAACAGAAGGTGTTTAAAACCAGAGTCAATAAAATTGCTACAAACAAAGTTAACCTTTAACACAAACATCACAAGATCCCACTGGATCATCTAAACCAGGGGTGTCAAACTCATTTTAGCTCAGGGGCCACATTGAGGGAAATCTAGTCCCAAGTGGGCCGGACTGGTAAGTTAAAAAAAACAACTTTAGATTGTTTTCTTTGTTTTAATACAATCAATATAAAACAAGGCTGGAGCCTGAGGACAGTGTAGTACAAGTACAACACCTGAAGTGTACTTGAAAATTTGAAAAAAATAAAAAAAATCCAATCGCAATCATGTTGGAAGGTTATGTTGAAACAGAAATCGGTTTCATTCTCAGCCTGCTTGAATTTGTATATTGTTGTTGATTATTTTATTTTTATTTTTTTGCTTTTACATGTGCAACCAACACACGAAGAACCTATTTTGAAATGTTTTATCCAAAATCCATGATTTACTTTTAAATTTTCAGAGAATAAATGAAACAAAAGTCAGATAATGAGCCGAAAGTAGAATTTTCTGTTCCTGTTACTGTATGACACTCATGTGACTGATTGGAGAAACACAAAAATTGCACTTTGATCTTTAAAATTCAGCAAGAAAGTAACGCTGACGAACATCTTAGATCATATGACAGAAGTCACGTGACAAGCATCCCCGATAAACCCCACCTCTTACGTCTGATTGGTCGGTGCTCTTCCTTTTACCATTCTGATTGGCTGAGACGGTCGTCAGTAAACCAGCACGTGACGGCGTTCATTTAATGACTGTTTTGAGGGTAAAAGAGGGACATCCTCACGCGTTTGTTGGCTTTAGATTTAAATGTCTACATTCTAAACTAATAGTTAAGACAATGAGACGTTTGTCCTTTGCAGTGCTTCTTTTGTGGGCAACTAGAGGTAAGAACGAACTTTTCCACGTGTTACACAGCTAGCATATATTGTTCTTAAACCACTGCAAAAGATGAAATTTCTTAGATTTTAATTCAATCATATCATTTCAGTTTTTTAATTATATACATACATATATATATATATATATATATATATATATATATATATATATATATATATATATATATATATGATTGTTCAAGTATTTCACATGTTTTATACTTGACAAATGTTTATACATAACAAAACGTGTTATGAGAAAGGTGAGAGGTTTGTTTTGTCTGTAGGGAAGATAAACACGTTACACTTCCGGTTTATATTGTTTATTATTATATATGAATGAAAAAAGCAAGAGAGAGCCCAGTTGGTCATATTTTTAGCCATGTTAAGTTAGATCTTTGATGTTAGTGTCTCTTCTTACATTGATCAACTACATTAACAGGCACACATACAGAAGGTAAAATAATATTTCTCACATAATTTTGATATTTTGTGATTTGCAGCTACAGAGGGTAAAGCAGTGCCTTCTCTTCCTGATTTTGGACAGACTTATCACGTGAAAGGTAAGCTATTTAATGCCAGAGGATTGTTCTCGGTGGCCGGGCGCTTTGTGGTTGGAGTCTTGACTCGTGATCCTCTACAGGAGTGATCTCTTTGCCATATGCTGAGATCGTGGAGCCGTTCGAGGGCTGGTTCGACCTGACTGCAAAGTCTAGCCGAATAGACTACTACAATGGTAGGAAACCCACTGCTCGGCTTGATTTTTTATTTATTTTCACCACCACCTAATCAGGTGCTCCTGATCGGTGGACCATTGCCATGGACCCATCCTGCCTTGTATCAGTGGTTCAGGCTGCTGCTGCTGGTGTACTGGTGTTAGGAAGGGTGTTCTGCTCCTACATTGGACTCCTTACTACCAATCTGAGCCTGGTTTAATCACCACAGTCTATCTGAGTATTGTTGCTGACCAAGTCCATCTTTTTATCATCACATGGACCCATCTTCTGATGGGTTCTTCCAGCAGGATCATGCCTGTCACAAAGATCAAATCATCTCAAACTGGTTTATAGAACATGACCATGAGTTCGCTGGACTTCAACGGCCTCCACAGTCACCAGATCTCAGTCCAGTTGAACGGGAGGTTCTCTGAACTCTCTTGGTCAGCTTTCTTCTCACACCAAACCCTCTGTCAGGAATCTTGGCGTGTCCTTTGACCCAGCTCTCAACCTGGATTCTCATGTCAGTTCTCTTGTTCGTTCTTCCTTCTTCCATCTCAGGAACGTTGCTAAGCTGAGTCCCGTTCTGTCCCGCTCTGAACTTGAGACAGTTCTCCACACCTTCATCTCCTCATGCTTAGACTGTTGCAACTCTCTTTACTTGCCTGAGCAGAACCTCCCTGAACCGTCTACAGGTGGCTCAGAACGCCTGTGCTCGGCTTCTGACCAAGTCCTCCAAACACACCCACATCACCCCTCTTCTCCTCCAGCTTCACTGGCTGCCAGTCAACTTCAGGGTTCTGGTCTATAGGGCCTTACATGGACAAGCACCATCACACATTGGTGATCTTCTTAGTCCCTACACCCCCAGCAGGTCCCTGAGGTCCAGTGCAGCACCAAATGGACTGATTTTGAGATCCCACAGTTCATATGCACGGCCAGAGCAAATAACCCTGGCTACACACGTTCTGCTGTATTTTACCCTGACAGGAGATGGAATGTCTGCGTGCGAGCTCTTTAATCAGATGACTTCATCAGCTGAACTGAAGCTTCATCAGATAATGAAAGATGACAGTAGCGTTCTTTTCCAGGATCCTTCACAAGAGAACTGTATTAGAGAAATCTTTATTCCCAGAAGACCGATGATTTCATTACTAAAGTAATCATTTTATAATTCAAAATAATCATTGAAGAAAAGAAGATCTTATAACTAAGATTTTATAATTAATAATCACTAAATATTGCCATGTATAATTATAAATGATGAAATGTTTCATGAATCTGTTTCAATGACACTACGTATGTTTACTGGGTTAGGTCATCACACTTGCAGACAGAGTAAGGCTAAGATAAAGACATGACACTTAAGTAACCTTGTCCCACATTTCGGAGTTCAGAATCGGAGACTGTGTTCTGAGATGCTTGGCGACTACAGAGATAACACCAGGCCTTAAAAAAGCTTCACTCTCTGTCTCACAACCTAAAGTCAGACAGACAGAGAGAGCGAGAGAGGCTCAGAACGGCCGTCGGAGCAAGCCTCTTTCACCAGAAGGATTTTGACATAGTCACAACCTTAAGCTTCTGCACCTGCGAAGCCGAACAACAAGATAGTCTTTGCCTGCAGAAAAGCTGATTTTTTTTTAGACTCCTTAACAAGACGCGTGGTTTCCGTCCATCTGGCGTGACCCTAGATGCATCTCTAGGACTGAAAGGACGGTACCTCGGTACTCTACAGCCCTCTGGGACCAGCGGCCATCCGACCCCCTCTGACTTTCGGATCTATCAAGAGGGTGCCTCTATGGGTAACGTAGACATGCAGATAGCGTCTGTATGCAGTTTGATCAATAACAGCTTGTAGCTTACTTGCAAACCAAATTTCCCCCATCCAGGATTCAGCTTTCTCATGATACCGACTCTGAAATACTATATTCACAATTAGTTCCAGACACCCATCTCTTAGTTCGCATCCGCTGACAGTAACTAATAGTTTAAACCATTTGTCAAGTCTTAAACTGTTTGTAAAATAAATTATTGTTTGTTTGCAAACCTGACTGGTTCTTGAGTCCTAAACGAAGTGATGACAGTCCCTGAATAAACAAAGAGTCTTAGAGTCTTCTGCCTAATCATCTTAAAGAGCAAGCAGGTGATATTCTATAATTAATAGATTGTCACAGCTATGGGTAACAAGTAATGACAATAAAAATAAATAGCTCTTAAGCAATTTATTTAATCCGATTTACCCTCTTATTGATTTCATTACAAGACCAAAGGTGACAGATCATCTGCTACGGTGACCCCCAGACTCGGGAACTCCCCGCCTGAGCCTGAGATCAGCAGGCTTGGCGGTCTTCTTTAAAAAGCTGTTGAAGACTCACCTTCGTCACCAGCCTGTCCTTATTCTGCTCTTAGTTAGGGATGCACCGATACGATACTGGTATTGGTATCGGTGCAGATACAGGTACTGATATCAGTATCGGTATCAGTAAAAGTTAACAGATACCAGTAAATGATACAAATGCAGTTGCTTGAAAGTGACTTCCCTGTAACTTGTCATTTCTGTTCACCTAATATTTTAGTTTTGGGATCACTTATATTACTTTTTATCTACCTCACAGTCTTTTCCTATTGAAAACAGAAGAAAATAAAAGCTGTATTCCAATTCAATGCATTTTTTTGTGTGGTAGAAGTATCGGTAATCGGTATCGGCGAGTACTCAGATCCAAGTATCGGTATCGTATCGGTATGGAAAAAAGTGGTATCGTTGCATTCCTACTCTTAATCCGCCTTTCCTGAGATCCATTGATTTCCCCTTTCCTATTCGTTTTCTCTCTCCCTTTCCTTATTTTTTTTGTTCTTTTCTCCTTTTAAACATATTTTTAATATTTTTTGAAATCTTTTAAACTTTTTCTTTTGTTTGTTATTGTGAAGCGCCTCATGATTTTTATCTTTAGAGGTGCTATATAAAAGATCTTCTTCCTCCTCCTCCTCCTCGTGGGTGCTATCATGCAATAATGGACCAGAACCTCTGAGGAATGGTTCAAACTCCTTGTTTATCTATGAAACGAAGATTTAAGCTGGTTCTTCTGAAGGCAGGAGGAGATCCAATGTAGTACTAGTATAATTTGCATACTAAACTGGTCAGTGAGCCCAAGTGGACTGAAGTGATTCAGGACTGAGATTCTGGTAAACCAGACTACAGCGTCATCAACAGTTAAAAACAGGAAGTCCTAAAAGAGAACTTGATCTGGTGACTCGTTGTTTTACCTCATTGCTTTTCAAGGTTTTGTTGTCCTAAAAAGCATTTTTGTATGTGTCATATGAATATGCATGTTAGCAAAAATGTCCTCATGACTGATTTTATGTCCTTTCTGTTCCCATTTTAATGCTGTAATGGATGTTAGAGGTAACTAATTGTTGTTTCAGCAGCAGGAACATGAGACACATTTGATCCATCTTAGAGTCCTCAGTATCCTCGGTGCTGAAGGTAAAAGTAAAACGGGCAGTACCTCATTTTCTATTTCATCATTAGAGCATCATTTCGCGGGCGAATGTGAAGCGGCTGGGATGAGGATCAGCACCTCCAAATCTGAGACCATGGTTCTCGACCGGAAAAGGGTGGCTTGCCACCTCCGGGTCGGGGGAGAGGTCCTACCTCAAGTGGAGGAGTTTAAGTATCTCGGGGTCTTGTTCACGAGTGAGGGTAGGAGGGATCGGGAGATCGACAGGCGGATTGGTTCAGCGTCTGCAGTGATGCGGACGCTGAGCCGATCTGTCGTGGGGAAGAGGGAGCTGAGCCAGAAAGCCAGGCTCTCGATTTACCGGTCGATCTACGTCCCAATCCTCACCTATGGTCATGAGCTTTGGGTAATGACCGAAAGAACGAGATTGCGGATACAAGCGGCCGAAATGAGTTTCCTCCGTAGGGTGGCCGGGCTCAGCCTTAGAGATAGGGTGAGGAGCTCGGACATTCGGGAGGGACTCGGAGTAGAACCGCTGCTCCTCCGGATCGAAAGGAGCCAGTTGAGGTGGTTTGGGCATCTGGTCAGGATGCCTCCTGGACGCCTCCCCGGGGAGGTGTTTCGGGCATGTCCTGCCGGCAGAAGACCCCCGGGTCGACCCAGGACACGTTGGAGAGGTTACATCTCCAATCTGGTCCGGGAACGCCTTGGGGTCCTGCCGGAGGAGCTGGTGGACAAGGCCGGGGAGAGGATGGACTGGAGCTCCCTAGTTGGGATGCTGCCCCCGCGACCCGGACCCGGATAAGCGGAGGAAGACGAGACGAGACGAGATCATTAGAGCAAAATCAGAAGCTGACTGTAGACTATAGCCGTTACTGATGTTGCTGTGGATGTGCGTTTTAGCTGAGGCGTAGCGGTCAGGAATGCTGACGTTAACGATCCTCTGTCATGATGAGCAGGTCAGGTTTCCACCTACCAGCTGGGGTCGGAGCAGCAGTTCGGAGTGGCTTATAAAATCACTCCTGAGACCACAGAGGAAGAACTAAATGTCATGAAGTGCTTCCAGGTCAACGGAACGAAGGATGAAGCGGTCAAACCGCAGCCGTCGTTGCCTGATGTGCAGGGCTTCCAGGTGTGTGTTTCTTCAATCATGGTAGCTTTATGTTAAGGAATGCAAACATTTTGGTCACGACTTAAGTTTTATGATTGTTGCCACTCTAAAAATGCTGTCCTTTCACAATAAAAGCCCAACTTTAGATGTAAAGTTAAGTGAATCGTCTGGTTTAATAGGTTTGTATGGAGGATCTTTGGTGAAAGCTGCAGGTCTCATTCACCTGTTTTGCTGCTGATGACACACACACACACACACACACACTCCTGATCATCTACTCATTAGCAGTTTTGCTCTCATCTTGCTAGTTCTTGAGGATGGAGTATTTTGGCGGCTCCCTGTGTGAGGTCTGGCAGAATGTGACGACTGTGGGAAACAAGAAGAACACCTATACGCTGTGGGTGGCTCATCCAGAGAACGCCGCTGATGCCGTTCCCCTCCACTATGAGATGATGGGGTACAACACCCTGTTGGGGTCTCATTATGACAAATATCTGGTGGACTACAAGGAGTTCAGCACCCACCTGGATCCTAAAGTCTTCTCTCTGCCTGAAGGTGTGTGTCTGTTAGCCGCGGGGCTGTTAGAACCACCACAGGAGAAAATGCTTGATGTTTATTCTCTTTGCCCCCCCTTCAGGAATGAGCTGTGGAGGTTTCCCAGGTCCAGGAGTGGAGCACCACATGCTGGCTAATCCAATGAAGGATCTGATCCACACCACCGCTTCTGGCCACTCACAGAAGATGTTCGACCATTTCACGGACAAGTTTCAGCGTCAGTACGACAACGAGAGGGAGCATGAAGAAAGGGAGCACGCTTTTCTTCACAATCTCCGGTAACTCAAACATCTCTTATTATTTAAAGCGCAGGTTCACTGAGAAACCATTTTTTACTTTAACATGCAGGCTGAATGTGAAAATAGTCTCCTACATCTATCTCCTGCATCAGCTTCTGATAGAAAATAGACGGAAAAACGCTCGGTTCAGAAAAGCCTGACACTGCTCCTTAACTTCATGGACTCACCCATCTTGACTCACGACGGGGAAGGTTGTTGTTGGTTCAGCAGAGAACGTCTCGACTAGTAGAAGCTAACGTTAGCATTAGCGACTCCACCACACAGCAGGACTCCTCCAGGCTTGTGTTATTTGTGGAGATGAGACATCATCGTTGCAGAGCAAACCAAGTCAGTGATCGTCACGTTGCTGTTATCCAGTCAGAGGCAGGATGTCCGAATATCAGGAAATAAGACTCGAAATCCTGCCGTGGTCTGTCGCTCTTGTCCCAAATGGGCGCACCAGAGCTTTTTTTCCCCAGAGAACGACTCACAATGCTTTCATTCCTACTAGAGATCCCTGCAGATATTAAAAATATGAGTACAGTTGACCTTTAACAGGTGACAAGTGTTTCATTTTCCCACCTGATGGTAGGTTTTAAAGATGAGCCGGATGCTTTCTTGTTACTTTAGGTATGTCCACTCCAAGAACAGAGCGGGCCTGTCCTTTTCTCTGGCTCTGAACTCGCTGTCGGATCGCACCACGTCAGAGCTGGCAGCCATGAGGGGAAGAAAACGAGGCAGAACCCCAAACAAAGGGCTCCCTTTTCCTGTCAAACTGTACGAGGGGGTAAAGGTCCCCGAGTGGCTGGACTGGAGGCTGTACGGTAAGCAGGAACCTGAAATGTGACTCTGTCTGTGAGGGTGCCCTGTGTTTATGTGACCTCTGACCTCTCAGGTGCCGTGACTCCAGTCAAAGACCAGGCCATCTGTGGGTCCTGCTGGAGCTTCGCCACCACTGGAGCAGTAGAGGGCGCTCTTTTCCTGAAGGTAGTTGAAACGCAGCCTGCAGCACAGCCAGTGGCCCCATTCCAGCAATGGGGATACTTCTTTATTCTCTTTGAAGTCACATATGTTCAGCATGGTGCCTCATCTGCTCACGTGGGGGTTTGTTTTTTAAGCAGCTTAATAAATTAATGGCCTCTTTTGGTGTTGAGGAAGAAATACCGCTTATCTAAAAAAATCTCACTTTCTAGAATTAAAATATTTATTATATCCAAGGTTTTGTTGGACAAATGATGGAAATTATATTAATTTAAATGCAAAAAAAGACTAAGTAATAGTTTTTTAAGATAAGAAACAAACAAAAAGACACTAGATAACATTATAGTGAAATCAACATTCTAGAAATCGGTGCAAACGTGAGAATCATCTCTTCTTTTGTATGGATGGTGTTATTGAACTTGGTGAAATCGGTCATGCCGAGTTTTGTCCGTAGCGTCTCAAACCTCCTGGAGCCTCAGGATGATTTACCGTGTAAGTGTCAACAGACCGTCCACAGACCTGGCCGCGAGTGTGAATAAATGAAACCAAGTGAACTTCAGAGCTCAAAGACATTCCTTCTGCCCGGTTGCCTAGCAACAGATCCAAACACGCTGGGTTTTCATAGAATTTGATGGCACCCCGCTGAAATGTTCCAATTCTTTTAAACCACACTCACGGGCACATCCGCTTCGGTTACAAATTTAATACAGTTTGTTTTCCTCAGTCTGCGTACATGATGGGGTGGAATCCAGCTGTGGAAGCAGAACTCCTGATTAGAGCAGTGATATTTTATTGTGTGATGTTGAGAAGTCACGACTACAGCTGATTTAATCAAAACCTACTGGCTACATCTGTTAGCATGTTAGCATGAGTTACCCGTTTTACTTCCATGTATGTAAAGTTGACTCAGTTGTGTGTCTTTGCTGTCTGGTTTAAAATGGCCTACGTCCAAACGGCAGACATTTTACTCTCCTGAGGAGGAACGGTAGCCTGCTAGCTAACAGCTACGTGTTTTGGTGTCTGAATCCCTGTCTGTCGTAAATTGTGCGACGTTGCAGTGTTGTTTTTGTCCTTGAAACAAAAAGAACTTGTTGAATTGGGTTAGGGTTAGGGTTGTTTTTATGAGGTTAAATCCGATCTTTTACACCCAATTCCGGTCCTTTAAAAATCACATGATCAAACCCGATTTCCGATCATGTGATCAGATTGGAGCATCCTTAGTCGATACAAAACATGTTTATGAAGTTCTTTACACCAAATCCCTCCCACATAACAGCATTTCAGCTGTTTTGTTTCTGACTGTTTCAGTACCTTCCAAAATGAGCCGTTTCAGAAAACAAGCTGGAGCTGGCCACGCCCACCCATCTCATGCTCAGGCTGCTATAAGCCGAGACTCATGGAGGGGCTTGAGTAGCGCCGCTTCTCCTCCAGCAGCAGCGGCTCTCTTGCACAAGAGAGGGTGGTTCTATTTACGGATGCACAGATACCGATACCAGTATCTGTATCTGTGCCGATACTGATACCGATTCCAGTATCGGTAAAAGTTAACCGATACCAATGCAATTGCTTGAAAATGGCTTCACTGTAACTTGTCATTTCTGTTCACCTAATATTTTAGTTTAGTGAGGATTTTTATTCATATATTTAACTTTTTATCTACCTCACAGTCTTTTCCTGTTGAAAGCAGAGAAGAAAATAAAATCTGTATTCCAAATCATTGCATTTTTTTTTTGTGTGGTAGAAGTATCGGTATCGGTAATCGGTATCGGCGAGTACTCAGATCCAAGTATCGGTATCGAATCAGTTTGGAAAAAAGTTTATTGTTGCATCCCTAGTTCTATTCAAATTTCCTCATTTGTGACATCACAAACAGGAACTTTTTGGAACAGCTTGTTTTAAACCTGTTTTAAAATAAGTGTCTATAGAAAACAATGAGGTTTATAGAAAAAGTGAGTTTTGTATAATACGCCCTCTTTCCTGAGGCGGACTCCAGGAGTTAATTAGTTATGGATCCAGTGTTGACTTTCTTAGAGTTTTATTAAACCTGTCTAATAAACACACACACACACACACACACACACACACACACACACACACACACACACACACACACACACACACACACACACACACACACACACCTGTAGCCTGTGGGCGATGATTAAAGCATTTCAACACAAAAGGGTTTAACCAGTCGTCCAGAAACTCCCTTTCAGCACATTCTTACTACATCAGTTCATCTGGCTAAAGTGGGTCATTGTGACCTTCTCAGAGTGAAGGCATAGGCACCCTCTCTGTTCATTAACGTCTGTTCCAGTGCCTTTTATTTCTCATGTGGTTGTTAGGAGTCAGAACATTCATGGACAGTTTGAGTTGGCCCAGACAACGTACGGTTGTGAGGCCCCAGCGGTGCAGCTTTGTACATTTTTTGGGACGTGGTGCCTCAGCAGGAAGCGACCTGTTCACATCAGCGACCCGCGTCGCTTCAGGCCACTTTGTAAACAGCCGCTCTCCGGAGGCTTGTTTTAGGTTTCCTTCTGCGACTCGTAGATAACAGCTGGTGCACAATTGTCAGAATAGTAATCATCCCTCTCGACCCCGTTGAGATATGTGATCAAATGACTTCTTAAACCAGTGTCATGCTCACCCTAAGCTAACTGTGTGATTCTCCTAGCTTAAGGCTTCCAGACAGCAGGGCAGGTCGCTAATCACATCTGGTCTCCTGTCCTTCAGACGGGCTCCCTGCAGGTCCTGTCCCAGCAGGTCCTGGTGGACTGTTCCTGGGGTTTTGGCAACAATGGCTGTGATGGAGGCGAGGAGTGGAGAGCGTACGAGTGGATCATGAAACACGGAGGCATTGCCACAACAGAAACGTACGGCGCCTACATGGGAATGGTGAGGACGGTGCAGATCTAGAACAACAGCATCTCACACTGGTTCAGCCTGAAACAAAATGGGAGATGTGATGGAGGAAAGGGACAGCCTGTTTAGCATTTTACTGGTCCGGTGAGACCCGGTTGAAATAACACTGCGTGTTCCAGTCAGATGTGATTTCAGCTGTTTTCCTGCTAACTGAGACGTTTTCCACCAGAGCTGTGAAAGTCTGTAAATACTTTTAGCACCACAGGGTTTGATTTCTACTGCCGCCGCAGCAGTCACATGAACAAGCCCCGTCTGAGACCACCGTTTTAAAGGTTTAAAGACTGGATTTATTCTTAGCTGCTTGTTTTTAGCTTTTCTCTTCTGTTCCCCGCCCGCCGGATGTCCTGAACGTGCTGATTTTAAACATGTTTATGTTTGTGTATCTGAGTAGAACGGGCTTTGCCACGTGAACTCATCCCAGCTGACCGCTCATATCAAAAGCTACACCAACGTTACGTCTGGCGACGCAGAGGCCCTCAAGCTGGCTCTGTTCAAAAATGGGCCGGTGGCGGTCAGCATCGACGCCTCACACAGGTCGTTTGTTTTCTACAGCCACGGCGTCTACTACGAGCCGGCGTGTGGTGAGTTAGCCTTTCACTGCTGCTCAGTCCAGTGTTGGGCAAGTTACTTCAAAACTGTAATGCATTAATTATTACATGTTACCCTCATTTTAAAGTAATTCATTAAATTACAATATTACTGATTTTAAAATGTAAGGCATTACACTACTTTTGCATTACTTTAAGTTACTTTCACCAATACAACTTCAGTATGGATCTGGTCATGTGACGCTCAGTGAGCTCATGACATGTATGTGGAAGGTGATGTGGTGTCTGAGCTAGGATTGCTGTTAAAAACAGTCAGATATAATAACAGTGCTTTAAAATGATTGTTTATTAAATAAAAGCAACAACAAACTGTACTCTCAGCACGCTGCCATCTTATATTAACTGAGCAGGGAGTGAGGTGGTGGGGGGCTCCAAGCCTATATTTGCCTTGGTACCCAAATGCCTTGATACGGCCCTGGATGTGGGACTGACTTCTGGGGTGATCTGATTCTATCACATGTATACATATTAAATGCTTATATATTATTGCTTTTCACTGGTAAAAATGTGTATTGGGGATAAATCTACCTACTTTTTTCTTTTTTTCTTGATTTTATTTGAATAATTTCCGGCCCTTTTTCTCTCTAACCTTCCTACATGCTGCATGTTTTCTCTGTCTTCCAGAAAAACTGTTTCCTAGACTTCCTACTTTCTAACTAATCAGCCAAAGGGATCTTCACATGCGCGGCACTCCAGCAGTAATGAGTTGAAATCACCGGGGCACAGATTATGAACTCAGCTGAGGCAAAGCACGTCAGAAAAGCACAAAATACCAGAGAACATGCGCTGATATGAACGATCGCAAGTGAAGTATTTTGTTTTGGTGGAGCGATTTAGTGAATGTTGCAGCAGCCGCGTGCAGGACGCAGCTGGAGTGGTTGAGCCGTTACCGCTGCGTCCTCTCTGCCCGCAAAGCTGAGTCCATAAATGACGTAATATATGCAGATACTGGATCTTTCTTCGGGTTTCCCGCAATTTGAATTTTTAAGGAACACATCTTGATTCTGGGTTTAAAAATGCATTGTAATTACTGCGTTACTGACAATTGTACCGAGTAAATATTACCATTTTCTTTCCCTGTAATGCCTTACATTACCACATTACAGCAAAAAGCAATGCATTACAGTAATTAATTACTTTTGTACCGCATTACTCCCAACACTGCTGCTCACACGTGTACTTTTTATGTTTAGGCTCAACCTGGCCGTGCTTCCTTGCTTAAATCAGGGTTGCCAAACCTTCAACTCCACTCTTTAATAGTACAACAGCTTAGTATTGGTTCATGCGTACATAAAGTCTCATTCCTGCACAAAAAGGGACCAATCTAACAAATAATATTTCAAAATAAGTGTCAATTTTTCTCTAATTCCTGTAAATCTCAAAATAAAAATGCATAATCAGACCTTTGCTTTTTTTTCCAGGTAACAAACCGGATGATTTGGACCATGCTGTGCTTGCAGTGGGATACGGGACCTTGAACGGGGAGCCTTACTGGTTGATAAAGAACTCCTGGTCCACTTACTGGGGCAACGACGGCTACATCCTCATGTCTGTGAAGGACAACAACTGTGGCGTCTCGACCGATGCCACGTACGTCACGCTAGCTTAGATTTTTCACCCGAAGCCTCTCGGTGTGTGCCTGGAGCTGAGCGGAGGAGAGGCGATGTGGCCTTAACGGTGCCGCGGTGATTCGGTACAACTTGGACACAGATTAATCAAACAGCTTTGTTGCTGAAGGCGCCATGCCTTCATTTTATTCAGATGGGCTACGTTTTGACTCGCTACAAAAATCTATTGAACATGAGGTTGTCACAATAAAAAGGTATAAAAGTCGTCTGGTTCAGTCTAAAGAGCACAGTAAGGCATGCTGGGTAACAAAACACGTCTGCCTGAGCAAAGCAGAACTCCACAGTGGCTTTTTCACGATTCACACGACCGCCTCTTACAGTTTTTTTTTCGATTGCTAAAACTCAAAAAGCAAAAATGAGGCACAGTTTTCACAACCTCTACTTCTGTTCCCAATCGCTCGACTCGGTTTATCACTACTTAAGATTTCCTTATCAAATTAAAACTCTGATTTTCCTCCTTTACACTCTGATGTCAGTTTCACATTACCTTGCTGTCAAAACACACACACACACAATTTTCAGGTATTACACACACTTCTCACAGAAACTCTCAAAGCTTCAATCAACAACACACACATATTCAAATCTCTTAACTGTCGGGTCTGGCGAGCAGTTTGCAATCAGGGACTGCAGCATAAAAGTAAGTCTCCACAAGGCTACCCAGGTGTGTGAGTGGTTTCAGGACCACCCACACTTTTCCATTTTATACCTTCCACCTTGTTCCCCCTTCCTCAATCCCACTGAGGAGTTTTTCTCAGCCTGGAGGTGGAAGGTGTACAAAAGGAATCCAGAGCCAGGTCCCACTGCTTCAAGCCACGGAGGAGGCTTGTAGCGACGTGGCCTTTGAGGCCTGTCAGGGCTTCATGAGGCACTCGAGGCGGTACTTCCAGAGCTGTTTGGACCAGGAGGACATCGCCTGTGATGTTGATGAGGCCCTCTGGCCAGAAGAGACCGGAGGCATGATGCCCCATGATTATGCTTGAATGGGAGAGGGGGTGGGGGGTGAGGGGGTTAACTGTAAAAATAAAATGTTTTGTCTCAAAATGTGTGTGCTGTCTAATGTTTGTCTCAGAGAAAAGTGGGCACTGTCATACATTCAGTGTGTAATTCATTGTGTTCCATTTCGACAGTTGTGTTTTCAGTGTTCTTTCCATGCTTGGTAGTGTTCACCCAAAGGCTACTTGTGTGTAAGCTTTGAATGGTGTGTGTGTGTGTGTGTGTGTCGTGAAAATGTGGCTGTGTTTACCAAATGAAAACACGTGTTCCGTTTTGGGAACATGTTACGATATGTGATGGCAGGGGTTTGTTGCAAAGGGAAGCCACGGTTTAGGAATTTGTGTGTTGTGTTTGGGGTTTTGTGTGTGTGCAGCTTTGAAAAACACGTTTTAGCAATCGAAAAAAAAAACTGTAAATGCACGATCAGCTCTTAAACATCTGATATGTACAGGTCCGATGTGGCGTTACAGCCTCGTCGTCTCGTCACTGGTTAAGTCACAAAAACAAGAGCAGGCATGTAAAGGCCACTAATGCATGCAATCTAATCTGGGCAGAATAAAGAGATTATGAGGCAGTTAGTGTTAAGCATCTGAAAATGCAGCAAACATGGTTTATATGGGGTGCCATTTGTAAAGTCAAACCGTCATAATCTAACAGCAATATTTTTGGTTATTTAGCATATCGTAAGAGAAAAAATTGGGAGTTCACTTTTTTGAAGTCATATTTTCACCATGTTATTCACACATTTATAAATGTTAAAGTTTCCAAATAAATATTTAGTTAGCAAGCTAAATATTTAATTTGTAGTTAAATATTTATTTTGCAAACTAAATATTTAGGTCTGATCTAAATATGTAGTTTGTAAAATAAATATTTATTTTGGAACTAAATATTTAATTTGTAAATTAAATATTTATTTTCCAAAATAAATATTTAGATCCCAGCTAAATATTTATTTTGTAGCTAAACATTTAGTTTGCAAAATCAGTATTTGAGAAATAAATATTTAAGTCTGACCCAAAAATATAAAATATAGTGTGGAGCTAAATAACATCGTGGAAAATAAATATTTAGCTGGTACTTAAACATTTAGCTAATATGCAAATTCGCTTGCCAATAAGCGGAAGTTGGTTACCAAAATAAATGCCGGATCTCTCTAACTTCTTTATAAACTCTTGCTCCGAACCAGAACTTTTTGTATCTCCGGTTCTATTCTTCTGAACATGTCCGACGTGTTGGCTGAAGAAGAATAGAACCGGAGATAAAACAAGTTCTGGTTCGGAGCAAGAGTTTATAAAGAAGTTAGCGAGAAACAGCATTTATTTTGGTAACCAACTTCCGCTTATTGGCAAGCAAATTTGCATATTAGCTAAATGTTTAAGTACCAGCTAAATATTTATTTTCCACAATGTTATTTAGCTCCACACTATATTTTATATTTTTGGGTCAGACTTAAATATTTATTTCTCAAATACTGATTTTGCAAACTAAATGTTTAGCTCCAAAATAAATATTTAGCTGGGATCTAAATATTTATTTAGGAAAATAAATATTTAATTTACAAATTAAATATTTAGTTCCAAAATAAATATTTAATTAAATATTTATTTCGGAAAATAAATATTTAATTTACAAATTAAATATTTAGTTCCAAAATAAATATTTAATTTATAAATTAAATATTTAGTTCCAAAATAAATATTTAATTAGTAAATTAAATATTTAGTTAGTGAACTAAATATTTATTTTACAAACTAAATATTTAGATCAGACCTAAATATTTAGCTTGCAAAATAAATATTTAACTACAAATTAAATATTTAGCTTGCTAACTAAATATTTATTTGGAAACTTTAACATTTATAAATGTATGATTAACATGGTGAAAATATGACTTAGAACAAGTGAACTCCCAATTTATTCTCTTGTAATATGCTAAATAACCAAAAATATTGCTGTTAGATTATGACTGTTTGACTTTACAAATGGCACCCCATAGGTTTACATATAAACTCATACATGATACACGTTTTATGAAATTAAAGTTAAATGTTGGAAGTCCCTGTTTGGATTCATTGTCATAAAAAGACAAGTTTACCTTGTTTCAGCTCTTGTCTTCAGCAGAGACCTGACCAGTGAGGATGCCTCAGGTTCTGCAGCATGAAGCTGATTCACGTTTTAGCTGAGGCTACTCTTAGAGACCAGGAACTAACCTTTAATGTTTAAAGTGAAACTACTCTAGGTTTGCTCTCTGCGATGAGGTCATGTGACACAAAGTGACCCTAATTTACTGAGTGAATGAAGTAATTTTCTGATTCGCAGCACTGGTAGATAAACGGCTAACTGGACCAGAACATCTCACCAAAATGGTTCCAACACAGAAGACCTTGTGTTGGCTGTCGGCCATGTTGGGGAGGGAGCTGCAGGTTTATCAGTATAAAAACTACCAGTTATGTTTTACATTAAACAAACAAAAAACCTTTTAAAATAAGGAGATTTTATGTCCTAAAGAGCCCTTTTGTCCCTCAGTCCATCCAAATAAAACTTGTTTAGAGCCACAATATTTACAGGACCTTTTGGGAAAATATCATTTCTAATTTTTGAGAAATATCTACAGAAGGGCAGTTAAAAAACACATTTTTGGGAGATTAGAGTCAAAAATCTTTTTTTAATTTTCTCTTCTTTAAATACAATAAAAGATGTGTTGTTATATTTGAAAAAGCATAATTTTGTTTGTATTATTAGATTTTAAAATATAAAAAATACAGATCCAACTTTTGCAAAAAGAGCGTGAATATTGCTTCTCTAACGGATGTTGATATTTGCAGAAACGGGTGCCTTAAGTGTCATTCTGTTATGGAAACCTAATGCAATCATTACATGAAGACACTGCAAAGCTGCTTAAACCTACATTTTTTTTAAATATTAGATCTGTATTTTAAAACATGAGTTAGTTTTTTATAATTTATATATTAGTAATATTAAGAGTCATTGTAGAAGGTGTGAAGCTGCAAGTTGCAGACCCCTGATCTATATGATGACTTCACAAATGCTCAAAAAGGTTTTAAGTGTTGTTTTTTGTAAAAAGCTACTCAAATTGTAGAAATATATTTAAATGTCGCCGAAAACACTAAAATTGCATTACAGAGAATGGGTTTTGTTTACCTTATCAACAACATCTTGCTTTGGTTAGCAAACAGGCATCATTTGAAAGCATTTCTGTTTGTTCAGAGAAATTTAAAAATGTTGGGTTATGAACCACATTGGGTGAATGTACCAGCACAAACACCAACTCTTGGGGATCGGAGGTGGAGGGGTGATGATTTGGGCCTAGACTGCAGATGCAGTAAATGAACAATTTGTTGTCATTTTAAAGATAATTGGATACGAGCAAGGTAAGAAACAAGGTAGATGATGAAATTCTCACCACTACAGATCAAGCAACTTAACTAGTTTTAACAAACCATCTTCACATTTTCACCGAGTTTCTTCAGTAGACAGTAACGGCTGGCCATGTTTTGATGTGTAAACCTTTAGATTTAGGGGGGAAAACAGGGTGCTCTTATTTTGAAGCTGCTTTAAAGACATGGCACTTTTGCTCTTATTCAAGGTTTATTCTTAAATTGGTAAAGTGTACCTACCAAGTTTCAAGGTAAACTCGCTGTTTTGTCTGCATTTCTCATATATGGTAACACTTCACAAAGCTGGGTTAAGGTTACAGACTGAAGGAGGGTACAGAGAACTGTAAAACGCAACGCTGCGTCTGCTGGAATAGCAGCTTTTTTATTGGCCGAGGCAGAAACCATGAATGCTTCCTTTGTGCGTCTTGAGTGTGAACACGTGCTCCTTCGGCGTGCGTTTGGCTTCCTTTGCACAGGACTCATAATCACACCCTGATGGGTAGTTGCATAGATCTGTTGGGTTGGGGGGGTGTTGAGGCTGTACGGCTGACTGATGGAGTGTGTTCATCCTTTTACGCACAGCTGAGTCTAGTTCGCTAGTTGTTGCAGCTCCTGCTTCTCCGTGCTGTTTGCTGTTGGATCAAATTTTTCACACAGCTGAATGTTTCCCTTAATGGAAGCCAAACTGCAGGAGACAAAATAGGAATCAGAAGTGACAGAAATCAAGATATGAACTGGATTTCTGGTCTAACATTTGCACCTATCATCCCAGTTTTCTGCATCGTCCAATGTGTCCGGCAAGGGTCTGTCAGCAGTTTCAGGCAGGGCCAGGGCAAGCATGGCCCCCAGGAGCGGAGAAACACCGAAGAGGATGAGGGGCGTAGCCGGGCTGTGGTTATGCAGCATGTTGATAACAGGTGCTAGCACACCACCCATCCTTGCAAACATGCTGGACACACCTATTCCCGTTTGCCTGGAAGGACAAAAGTTGCAGAAATGTTAATTTAATAAAGTTCAGACTTGATCAGGAAATCCCACACGTCCTCCTTACCTTACCACAGTTGGGAATATCTCAGCAGTGTAAACGTAGATGACTGCAAAAGAAGCCGTTATACCAAACTTGCCTACCATGGCGAGACCAGTCAGGACGTTGGGATGATCTGGAGACAAAAAAGAGAAACATGTTTGGTTTCCAAAACAACAATTCCTACTTCCATAAACGCAGAAGCTGACCTACCTGCAGGGATTGTGAGCATGAGGAGGCAGGCGAGACCCCCAACAGCCAGGAAACCACTTTGGCTGAGTCGGCGGCTTAGGGGCAGGACGAGGAGGACCATAGTACGAGCTGGGATCTCAACCAACCCAAACACAAACTGAGTCAGGTAGAGGTTTGTCCCTAACCTGGACACACCCAGGGAGAGCCCATAATACACCAGCACATTTACAAACCTGGAGTTGAAAACACACCGGAGAAAACGGGCGGTGAACAGCGTGGAGGACTTAAATGATCACGATGGTTCAGAAACTTACCAGATGTAAAACAAGATGACGGATCTCTTCCTCATCTGTGGTGTTTGTACCAGATCCAACACCGAGTGATTCCGCTTGGCTCCACCTGAGATCTCCCACTTTTCCACCTCACATGCAAACAGACACACAGATGCAGGGTTTTCTTTACTGGTGCCATAGATGCTGACGTGTTGGTGATTAAAATGAGTATTTCTTCTAAACTAAAGTAAAAACACATGACTGACAAGCCGGTTGTGTCTGGAGTTGATTTCACTTGTGGAATTTCCACTTGGTAGCTGTTCACAGCATTTTTTTAGAACATAGTCCAAAGAAGTGTGGATGGAAATCATCCTTAGATGGGAAAAACAATAACAGCTGTCTGAGAAACAGCTGAAAGTTTAGGAGCGGGCAGGAGGAATGCAGCGAAACTCAGAGGCTCAAACAACCACAAAATGCAAAACCTAATTACTGCAGAATATTCTGTTCTTGAAGATAATTTGACTTATAACACCGATTCAGCAAAACTCCTGAGGAGTTGGTGTAACAGCTGTTGTTCGTTGTGGTGTAAATGGATTATGACCCAACAAAAAACATCTCCAGTCAGAGAAAGTCCATTTTTAGCTCTGTTACTTTTCACATTTTAATGCAACTTATTGATCAGGAAGTCAAACAAACAGCAACATGCCAGAGTAAAGGTCTGGCAAACATGATCAAAGCAATAAAAGATCGACAAAAATAGGACTGCAGACATTATAAACGAACCCAAAGATTTAAGAACCCGGGAGTATAAAACTGGATTTAAAGTCGGCCACAGACAGCGACTGTCTAGAAGCTCATTCCATAATTTTGGACCAGACACCAAAATGGCTCTGTCACATCTGGCCCTCAACCAAAAACAACATTAAAATGAATCCTAAAAGATGCAGGTGGCCAGTGTAATGCAACATGCTCGAACGTCCACCTCCCCTTCATCAATCTCCCCGCAGCATTTTGGACAATCTGCTGACAAGCTACAGCAGTCTGACTCAACCCCAGTAGGAGGGAGTTTCAGTCAAAAAGGTGTGATGCTATAAAAGCATACACACACGTTTTGAGGTCGTGCATTGACAGAAATGGCTTGACTTTAGACAAGTGTCTTAAATGATAAAAGGAAGATGAAACAATCCCATTAACATGGTCATTGAAGCCAAGGGCGTTATCAATTTCCACACCCAAATTGAGTTCCGGAGGTGGGAGTTTAACTCATCACAGTCGACCAAAGAGCCATCAACTTGGACCAAACAAAACAGCCTCGATCTTAGGTTCATTCATGAACAGGAAGTTTTCGGTCATCCAAGCCTGCAGCCAAACATAGAGCTTCGTAACGTGGCCGCCGCCAGACACGTTTAGAGATAAATACAACTGGCAGTTATCAGCATATAGATGAAATGCAATCCCATGCTTCCATTTAATGTCACCCAGTGGCAAAATGTACACATTAAATACCAGAGGTCCCAGTGTCGGACCCTGTGGAACCCCCAGGACAGAAAAGCAAGATCAGATGAGAAACCACCCATACAAACACACACCATTCTGTCAGCAAGATAAGATCTAAACCACTTCAGAGCCCAACCAGAAATCCCCACATGGTGCTCATGATGCAGTAACAGCACTTCGTGATCAACTGTATCAAATGCAGCCAGAAAATCTAATAAAACAAGCTAAAACTGCCTGACACTATCTGTTGCTAAAATAATGTCATTCATGAGCCTCAGCAAGGCGGTTTCTGTGCTATGCAGTGGTTTCAAACCAGATTGGAGGGTTTATGAAATATTGTGTTCTTCCAAACATGTAATTAACTGACCATGTACTCATCGTTCCAAAATCTTGTTTAAGAAAGGAAGCATAGAGTTTGGGCGAAGGTTTGCTGGCTTCCAACTTTCTTAAAAGGGGGTGTATAAACACTTTTAAAATTGTTCTGCACAACCCATGAAACTAGAATAGTGTTGATATGATCTAGGATCCACGGTGCCACTGTTGAATACACTTCCTTCAGAGAACGCAGGGGTAGCATAACCTCGGGAGAACCACTGGGTTTAGCTTCCACAACCAACAGGGAGGGGCTCAGAGGAGATCCGCTGCCCCTCCAAGTCGAGAGGAGCCAGTTGAGGCAGCTCGGGCATCTAGTCAGGATGCCTCCCTGATGAGGTTTTCTAGGCACGTCCAGCTGAAACGAGACCCAAGGGAAGACCCGGGACATGCTGGAGGGACTATAACTCTCAGCTGGCCAGGGAACACCTTGGGATTCCCCCGGAGGAGCCGGCCCAAGTGGCTGGGGAGAGGGAAGTCTGGGCTTCTCAGTTTAGTCTGCTGCCCCCGCAACTCGACTCTGGATATTTGCTGAAAATGGATGGATGGAACCAACAGAGCTCTGCTAATGTAATTTGGTAATAAATGAACTGGTGGAATTTAACCTTTCGTCTGCTGCTCACCTCTGCTCTGGCTCACTTCCGGTTCCTGAAACAGGAGCGCCAGAGCTTTTTATCCCACAGAAAAAGACATTAATTTATACAAGAGACTGCTGGAAAGGTATTTAAAAAAACAAGTGAACGTAGTCTCTATATAATAATAAAACGTTTGTGTATTCCACTCTAGAAAAACTTGACCACATGATGCTTGACTTCGTTCTCAGAGATCATGCACAGTGGAAAAATCCATATTGAATGAGATGCTTCTGGATTCTAAACATCAGCAATGAACTGGGAAATAATTGGTGTTAAGTGTTCATGGAACGCATTAAGTGTGAGTTTCACCATTACTGAGGATTATGTAAAAATAGGAGACCTTGCTCATGGGAACCATACCTGGAAGGCAGGAGGTAAAACCCGTCCGTTAACAAGTGCTGCTTTCCTCAGAAGTGCAACGGCCTCCTCTCGCCTATCGTTGGCCAGCAACCAACGGGCAGACTGGGGGAGCACCCTGGTGGGGGGACAGGATGGGGGGCAGAGGAGAGAGAGTGGCAGATATGAGGGCTGCAGAGGAAGTGAGCACTACAAAGAGAGCATTCATGTATAGCAATGAATACACAGTAAATCTAATGTTTACATGCCAGTAGAACCTCCCACCATATATAAAAGATCAACAGGAAGCCTGGAGCTGATATAGCCAGCTGCAGTTTTCTCCAGTCTCGTATCAGATACGCAACTCCCGCAAGGAGCATGTAGCCAAGGCCAAAGGTGTAGTCTGTGATGATGCCAGCCAGCATCCGTCTCTTGGTGCATGTCCACTCAGTACCTGGAGGGGAGGGGAGGAGAGGGGAGGGGAGGGGAGGAGAGGAGAGGAGAGGAGAGGAGAGGAGAGGAGAGGAGAGGAGAGGAGAGGAGAGGAGAGGAGAGGAGAGGTGGGGAGAGGAGAGGGGAGGGGAGGGGAGGAGAGGAGAGGAGAGGAGAGGAGAGGAGAGGAGAGGAGAGGGGAAGGGAAGGGAGGGAAGGAGAAGAGAGGTGGGGAGAGGAGATGAGTGGAGAGGAGAGGGGAGGGGAGGGGAGGAGAGGAGAAGAGAGGAGATGAGTGGAGAGGAGAGGGGAGGAGAGGAGAGGAGAGGAGAGGGGAAGGGAAGGGAGGGAAGGAGAAGAGAGGTGGGGAGAGGAGATGAGTGGAGAGGAGAGGGGAGGGGAGGGGAGGGGAGGGGAGGGGAGGGGAGGGGAGGGGAGGAGAGGAGAGGTGGGGAGAGGAGAGGAGAGCAGAGGAGAGGGGAGGGGAGGGGAGGGGAGGGGAGGGGAGGAGAGGATAGGAGAGGAGAGGAGAGGTTAGGAGAGGAGAGGAGCCTTAATTGTTATTTCACAGGTGTGATGGACAGGTGAGGAAGCTGCTGCTAATATCTGTTTCCTGTACTTCCATAATCCATATCAAACTTTCCAACATTTTCAAATGTAAATAAGGAACACACAAAGTTACACAGTTTACAGTAAATGGTCTGTATTTGATATAACACCTTCTAGAGCCCTAGACTCTAGATCCACCCATTCACTTCCTGGTGGTGATGAGCTACAACATAACCACAGCTGCCCTGGGGTTTACCGACAGAGGTGAAGCTGATGAGCACAGGCGCCACCGGTCCCTCCAACCACCACCAGCAGGCAGGGCGGGTGTCTTGTCCAAGGACACAACAGCAGCGACAGCCCGAGTAGTGTATATCAAAATATTTTTACCAAGTACGAAGGCATTGATGATGACTCCAGATATGGTGGTTCCAACTGCAAAGCGGAGAAGCACGTAAACAGGGAAGTTGGGTGCGAAAGCCACAGCAACCCCTAAGATGGTCTGGAGAGCGATGGACAGCAGCAGGACGAAACGTCGACCGTACCTGGACCAGAGACATCAGATGGACATGAGTCCCCTGATGAACTAGTTATGACATCGTTGATTCAGACGGAGGAGAGGGGTGCACATATTTAACTGTAAAGTTAAACAAAATGCTCTGAAATCTCAGACTTATCTAAATTTTCTTCTTTTACTTTGTAATTCGTCCGCCCTGGGACTGGGAGATCAGGGGTTCGACTCCTGGTCGGGTCAGACCAAAGACTTTTAAAAAATGGGACCCAATGCCTCCCTGCTTAACACTCAGCATTAAGGGGTTGGATTGGGGGGTTAAACCACCAAATAGTTCCCGAGCGCGGCTTGTCTGAAGCTCACCGCTCCCCCAGGGGATGGGTCAAATGCGGAGAATAAATTTCGCACGCACACCTGTGTGTGTGACAACTACTGGGACTTTAACTTTTTTTTTAATTCCAAAATTCCACCCTCAAAAATCCCAGGCTGCCTTAATAGATTCTTTAAAATAAAATTGGTAAAATTGATCATTTATTGAGGCTGATTAAGACATGCAATAGTACACTTATAGTACATAGTACACCTGTAGAATAAAGTACACCTGTAGAATATGGTACACCTTTAGTATATAGTACTCTTGTATTAAATAGTGCACCTGTACAAAATAGTGTGCCTGTGTAGCATACAGTTCACCTGTAGCATATATAGAATGACTATAGTATACAGAACATGTGTAGTATACAGTATAATGAACATGTAGTAAATAGTACACCTGTAGAATATAGTAAACATGTGGTAAATAGTACACCTGTATAATATAGTAAATGTGTCGTAAATATTACACATGCAATATATAGTACACCTGTAGTATATAAGTCTGTAGCATATAGTACACCTGTAGAATATAGTAAATGTGTGGTAAATAGTATACCTGTATAATATAATTAACCTATAGTGAATAGTATGCCAGTAGTATACAGTACACATGTAGTTTTTAATAAGTCTATAGTATATAGTACACCTGTATAACATAGTAAACATGTGGTAAATAGTACACCTGTATAATAAAGTAAATGTGTAGTAAATATTACACCTGTAATATATAGTACACCTGTAGTATATGTCTGTAGCACATAGTACACCTGTAGAATATGGTAAACATGTAGTAAATAGTACACCTGTAATATATAGTACACCTGTAAAATATAGTAAACTTGTAGTAAATAGTATGCCTGTAGTATACAGTACACATGTAGTTTATAATAAATCCATAGTATATAGTACACCTGTAGAATATATTAAACATGTAGTACACCTGCAGTATATAAATCTGTAGCTATAGCTCACCTGTAAAATAAAGTAAACCTGAAGTAAATAGTATGCCTGTAGAATACTCTACACCTGTAGTAAATAGTACACCTGAAATATATAGTACAGTAGCAGTAGTGGCTGCCTGCAGTATATATTTTATGCCCCGCCCCCTCCAACAAACGGGACATTTTACTGTCTAAATAAAAATCACCTGAGAACTTTCTCCAGGTGTTACCTCATATCCATTCAAGTACATCTCACCTTGCTGCAGCATGTTCCAGGTGTTCATTTAAATTATATATTTATATTTGATGAGTTTGATATGTTTAGTTTACCACCAACAGTGTGTGAATGAACTCTCTGTAAGGCGTTTTGAGTTCCTAGAAATAAAGTGTTGCATAAATCTAATCCAATAATATTATTAGTTCAAAAACAAAAAAACAGCAGAACACCGAGCAGAGTACACATGTTTGGTATGGCCTTGATGAGGCCCTCCTCTGTGTGTGTGTGTGTGTGTGTGTGTGTGTGTGTGTGTGTGTGTGTGTGTGTGTGCGTGTGCGTGTGCGTGTGCGTGTGCGTGTGTGTGTGTGTGTGTGTGTGTGTGTGTGTGTGTGTGTGTGTGTGTGTGTGTGTGTGTGTGTGTGTGTGTGAGCTGCCCCTAATTGCACCAGACAACCACATGCCAAAGGACTCCAGATGTGTGGGCCCCTGTAACCCTGCTTTGATGAAGAGGATCAGGCTGTGTGTGAGTCAGAGACAGAGGGCTGGAGGCAGGAATAAAACAGATGAGATCTACCTGTCGGCCATGGCTCCAAACACCACAGAACCCACCAACAAGCCAAACATGTAGATGGATGATCCAAGACTGTTGAATCCTGCATTGGTGCACACCAGGTCCCACTGATGGGAAAACAAGGCAGATATTCAGTTACTGGACCATACACACACTTAGTTAAACACTAGTGTGTCCAGGTGGTAAATGCCGTTAAACAGCATTTACTCATGCAGGTGTGCTAAAGTCTGATAATGAATGGTTGGAGTTCAAATTGAGCATCAGGAAGCAAGAAAATAGAATTTTAGTGACTTTTGTGTTGTTGTGATCACATATGGTCTCAGTAATCAGGAATCTGCTGATCCATGGGATTTTTACCCACAACCTTTTCTAAGAGTGGCCAGTAAAAGGGGAAATTATTCAGCAGCTGTAGAAGAAAATGTCTTGTTGAGGTCAGAGGTCAGCGGAGACTAGCTGGTTTGAGATAACAGAAAGACAAAACCAGCTCAAACAACTAGTCCCACTAAAGACCTGCAGAACCGCCTCTCTGAAACACATCATGATGGACTCGGCAGCAGAAGATCACACCAGGTGTCCCTCCTGTCAGAACACATCATTCACACCTGAACTGGACCAGAACAGTCTGGTGCGGTCAAATCATTCACAGAGAAATGGATAAAAGTCATTAAATTCCAGCTAACATGAAAAAAACATTTTTACATTTTAAGTCTGGATAAAAATTGGACTAATGTGCATCCAGGGCTCCAAAATTAGAACCAATACATCAAAATCTATCAGGTTTTTGAACAAGAATTTACAAAACATAAATAAAAACGAGAAACGGGAAAGGAAATGTCAGAAATGTTAAGTAAAGCAGGGAAACCCACAAGTCTGATGCAACACTTACAACTCATGAAGACAAAAGCATGAATCTGGTCTGAGGTCAGTTTGCCTCTGGGAATGAGTGCGCGCGCGCGTGTTTTGCTACAGTACTTGAAAAAAACATGACTGGGGTGTATACAATTAATTAAAATTCCTGATATTTAGGAACGAGCTCGTATATCTCAGCTGTAGCACTTTTATGTAACAAAATAAACTTCATTAACTTCCACCCGCTGTACCTCGGTGACGGTGGTGCTCTGGAACACCTCCTGGCTGTAGACCCATCCTTGGACGCACGGGACGCGCTCCGTCCGGTTCTCCAGGAAGAAGCAGGAGACGTCCAGCAAGCTGGCGTTCCCGGTGACTGATCCTGGGATGAAAGTCTGATTCCGTACGCCTGAACTGGAGCCTTCCTGGCACTGATGGGGCGGCGTGGCTCCGGTGAAGACGCTCGCCATCATGTGGAAGGCGAGGAGGATTTGAGGTAAACAGATCCATATGTACAGAATCTTCTGGTATTTCCCAAATCCTCCGATGGCAGCCAGGATTTGGTCGAAATTCATTTTGGAGAGGAATTAGGGCCAAAGTCTAAGGTTGTCTCTTTTGGAGACCAACGAGTCAGAGTGGAGACAGGACGCGCTGCGTAACTCTGGAGATAAAATCCATGTGCTGCTCTGCTCCGCGCAGGGGAAGACTAAAAACTATCCCGAATTAATCTCGTTGGGGTTATCTCCTGACCAGCATCCTTCCACCTGCCTGTGCGGAACTCCTCTTTTTCTGTCTTTCCAAAACCATGCGTAATCACACACACACACACACACACACACACACACACACACACACACATGCACGCACGCACACTTCATGCAATTTCTCCCTGCAGCTGTGCAGCATCACAACCAGCCCAAACCAGCAAAACAGGACGCAGTCACGCCTTAGGGAACGTAAACGCATCCATCCACCAAACCAAACGTTGATGTACTTGGTGCAGAATAGGTGAAAAACACAAATGGCACCGACGTGCGGGTGATGTGACGTATGTGTCGCTACAGGGCAGGGCGGGGCTACGTATGTTACAAAATCCCAGAAAAGGCGCTCCAGTGTGAGGATCAGCGCGCGTGCACAGACACGGTCTGATCCTCACAGGTGATCTGCACATGCGCACTCGTAGTTATTACCTGCAGGTGCGCGTGCTGCAGACAGTTAGAGAGATGTAAATCGCATGATTTGGGTCAAGCCCAATAGAACCTCATCTGCATGAATTTGACTGAAACACGCGCCTGTAGTTCTGCTAGCTCTCTGCTGCCACCTGCTGTCTGAGGAGCTCTGCGCTGGTTTCATAAACCCAGATCTGTAAACAGGAAAAGGAAGAAAGGGATGATTTTGTAAAATGACAAGCATCGTTTGTCGTCACTAGTTCTTTAATGATGGTAGCCTGCTGCTGGTTGTAAGCAGGGGATTGCTTCAGTGTCATTAGATGGAGAATGCTTTATTTTACCCATTATTTTTGACGAACTGCAAAAGCAGAAACACAGAGTTTTATTTTGAAAGGGTGCAGCTTCAGGCTTTAGCATTTGATGTTTTAATTTTCAATTAACTGGTTTTCCAGATGACTGATCCTGTCAAAATTCTAAATAAATAAATAAATGTGGAGACATATAATTATAAAACGTATTTATTTGTGTATTCATTCATTTATTAATTCATGGCCTGGGGTTTCACCCCAAAATTATGGACTAGATGTGGACATGTCCATGTTAGGTTACATGGTCTTTGATCCTTTGACAGTTTGAATAATTACTTCTTCTTTTTCTCATTCCTTAAACATAACTATTGAACATGTACACTGCTTATTTCTTGTTCATGTTCTCTGTGCCTGTGTAGCGGAGAATTAAAACTACACACTAGAATCACCTCTGTTGCTATTCAGTGGAGATTCTGAAAAATGATAATCAGATTAACCTATAAAGCTTATATCATATATATAAATATCCCGGATACTTATTTATCGATCTAAGCTCATACATCAACCTGTTTGGTCTCATTTTAATCCAAGGATTAATATTTAATTTTGATAATTAAATTTAATAGCAAAAGTTATTTTGAATCAGAAGCTAGGGATCTTTGCTTGTCAATAACCAGAAATATTTTACCTTTTCTGTGTTTCGTTTCAATAATGAGGCAAGTTTAAAAATGAAGAAATTTTATTACTAACAATTTTAAACTTAAAGATTTGAAACGACAATTATAAATGACAATTCATGGATGATAATTTAATGACAATTTTTAACAGCTTTGATATTCAACTTGTTTTAAAAGAACAAACCTGTGGCTGGATGGAAACTAAATTGGAAATACGAGTTTGGATGCATGAATGGAATTATCAGAAGGTTTCTTTCAGAGAGAGCGGAAGCGTTCTGGATGGAAATGATGTTTTGCGGCTAACTGGGTCTTTCACTTAGAGAAAACAGCATCAAACGCATTCCTGTGTTCTACCTCACCCAAACAGGAGACCCTCTTGTAGATCCGGAGATCAGGAGGATGTTGTCCATCCAAGATGACACTTGGTCCGGCAGGGAAGACGCGAGTGTCCGATGATCTGGTCCAGAGATGTCGCCGGGTACACAGCTGTCAGCATTTGGTGGATGGACGTTCTCGTCTTAACTTCACTTCAGAAATCAACAACTCTGGGTAGAGTCTCCGTTAGCTGGTTACAGTTCGTTTATTCTTTAGCTATTCTTGTCGGCGTGACAGAACAGCAGGTGGAGGTTTTAGGGACGGCCGTTCCCTTCCTCCGTGATGTTGGTTCAAGAACTCACTCTGAAGTTGGTGATGGTTAGTTTTACCAAGCTCGCAGGACACTCCCACTCTCTCCGGAAGAAAGCTTTGATCATGCGTCAAAACATGTGTTGCAGTTTTCGTTTATCTGGACTCTGTGTTAGCTGGATAAGGTGAACTGACCTTCTGATATGCTGAACACATCTTTTACTGTCATCAACCATAATCATAATTATTATTATTATTATACCCAAAGCATAAATTCATTTCATGTAATTAAAATACCTTTATACTGAACCAAGTGATCATTTATGAGATTATGTTAAACAGTAATAAAATCAATGAGTTTTATTAATTATTATCACCGTGACTTGAAGTGCCTTCCTTCTGGGATGGAACAGCAGCCGATAGGTGATGTGATCTTGAGCAGACATCGTGGCTCCTTGGGTTAATCTGTGGATTTAAAAGTACTGCTTGACCCAGCTTGACCCAGCTGGCTAAATGTGACCTTTGCCACAAATCAGAGAACCTTCATCACGTTACACCTGTGATCTCTTTGGTCAAACAGGGAACACCCACACAAAGCCCAGATGCAATTCATTTGCAGCCAAATTCACAGCATTAAAAGTAGTTTGGATGGCGTTTTGAGTTTTGCTCTTATAACTCCCTAAAACCTGTAATGAACTACAAGAAATGACACGAATAATCAAACCTTTAACTTCTCTGTCTCTTACAGAAAGACAAAACACTTGATTGTAACATGCTTTTCACGTGTGATCACACGTGGGGAAAAAAGCGGGTAACAATTGTGGGAAATGTTCCAAAATCAAGTGGAAATTCATATGAATTTCATTCAGAGCAAAACATCTTTTCTACATGTGCCTTTCACTTGTTCAACTCAAACTTCAAAACAGAATCTTTAAAAAATCACATTTTTTAATTGGAATCATAAAACATTTCTAGCAGAAAGCTGAATATGTATGCTTTAATACAAAATAAAAAGGTACCAACAGATGCACACGTTTTGAAATATCTCTTGCTTTTATTTTGAAGGAGCCCCCCGGAAGTTTTCCTTTTTCTGCTTCCGTGTGATTTGACGCTCAGACTCTGACGGGAGAAGCTTCCAGTGAGGGGTGAGGAGAGCCGGACTGGGATGGGTGAAGGGCTGGAGGAGTGGACTGGACCAGGAGAGACTTCAGGAACAGGTCTGAGGTGTCCCTGATCATCTGGATCTCCGAACGCTGCGAACCGGATCCGAACCTCCGCCCTGCTTCCCGGACACCACCATCCGCTCCTGCATCCGCCCCTTTCATCCCGACAGCTCCTTGGATTCTTATAGAACAACAAAAAGAACCAAAATCCTTCTCTGTATGAGTGAGTAGAGCTCTGCTGTTAACATTTGGGCTTTTATTGTTCAAAATACGGATTCTGATTCGTCACGCGACCTGCTGATGGAGGTGAAGCCACGCCCCCAAACATTAGAATGACATTGGCCGTGTTCGAGTTGAGATCGTGGTTGAGCTGCGCCTCGCCTGGAGAACAAATCTAACCGGCACGCGCTGCTCGCCGCTCACCGCTGATCTAACCTGCGCAGGACTGGCTCATCTCGATCACAGCCTTTTGTTTGTTCCACATGCATGGTTGAACTCTGACCTGTTTGCTGACGTACAATAAGATTAATTATCTGTGATCGTGTATCCTTTTAGCCACGCCCCCTGGAAAGATCTGTTTTGTTTGACTCAAATTAATCCAAGAAATTAGAGAGCAGGCTAAAATGAGTTTCAGCCTTCATGGTGAAGTCATTTTTTTCTTCTCAGGGCCTCCACAGTGGTCAGTCCGATTGGATTATTAACTTTTACATAATCTGTCATCTTTTCACTTCAGATAAGCATGATGCCGTTTATCCACTGATATGTTTTGGGAATGCAGAATGCCTCAAGTCTGTGTTTTGGTAACTAAGTAGAGGAACACAGAGGATGAAGCTCAGCATCCAGAATGCATCTAAAACCAGTCGGTCAGAAACAGTATGAGCCTCGTTCACTCATGTGCCTCTACTGCTGCAGCAGTAGTCTATTAATACAATCACTGATACCTTTTTAAGCTCGCTGTCTGTCGCTCCGGTGATGTCATGCACTGAACCTGCAGAAGGTGAATTTATCCTGCTGCACGTCTGTGTTCTGCAGGAATCACCACTCCATCAGCTCCGTCTGTGGCCGTGTGAGGGCGTCTAGGATTACTGCAACATCAGGAAGGGACTCGTGCTTTAAGTTTGCCCTTGTAGCTTTTGTGTTCTCCTCACTATAGCAAAGCCCCCCCACCCCCCAGCTTTACTCCTGTGTCATTTTACTGCAGACTAAAAGTGGTGTCTGCTGCTGGCCGTGATTTATCCAGCGTGCAGCACACTGCAGACTCAGCAGCACTTTAGTTTAAACACTCTGAGAGCTGAATCAGTTCGGACTTTGAGTTTCAGCTAATGGCTCCTCTGAGGCTCCTGACTCTGATCATCCCGACCCGTCTGTCTTCTCCAGGACTCATCTGTGAGCTGAATCTGGTGACCCGGTGGAGCTCCAGCTCCAGTGGCCCATGGCCTCCTCTCCTCTCCACCAGTGAGCCAAGCTGGCCTCCCCGGCCTCATCCCCAGCCCCGGACCTGGACCCGGACCCCCAGCCCAGTCAGCGTCTCAGTAGTGAAGAGCAGTATGTGAGCGAGGGCGAATGCGGCCGGCTCGATGCTCACCTGGCACCACCTCTGTGCAGGGATGCCGAGACCATCACAGGTACGACGTTTATGGAACTATGGATTCTGACATTTGGGTTCGTGTGTCTATCAAAAATTATTCATAGATCAACAACAAAGGTTGATCTGCCTCATGGTCTTCTCCAAAGTTAACTGATTAACGTTGGAATCAACTCGGTTCAAGATGGCTGCCACATCCTACTTCATATATAATACATAAGTTTTTTATTCACACTTAATGCTGGTTTAGACTCATTCATTCATCTTCTTGCAACAATGAACCTAACTATGAATGTGTTCCTCTTATCACATGTTTCTAGTCCTTCACAGGCATCACGTCGATGATCTTTAAAGCTGTTATAGCAAATCTACAGGACAGGCTAGGTTTTGAACGTAAACATAGTTATGGAACCCTCACCCCACCCCTCAGGTATCGTCCCCGAAATGCTTCTGCCGGAACCGGAAACCTGCTTTGCCAGAGGAAGCAAGATGGCGTGAAGCACTAGTAGCCATTCTCTAGGTCCAAACTTCTTTTGTTGTCTGCAACTTCAAATGGTGTTTTTCTTTTTGGGACTCTGGTATTTGTCCTGGAGTCTAAGTGGAAACAGCCGGCTGTTTCTCCTTCCGTCTGAAAGGTGTTATTGGCGGAGATTTGTAGACACATGCGAGAAAACCACTTTATTATATATTTAAATTATTTTTTTTTATAAATCTCCATATTACTATTTATAGCTATACCATGTTAGAATGTTAAGAGTCATGAAAAAGTTTTTAGGTAATGAACACGAGAAGGTATTGCATCTACGGTAGCCTGCATGCATCAAAAAGGCAATATGTCATCAATATTAGGCCCAGTTCCAATAATTGCACTTCCACCCTCGCGCCCCTCAATCGCAATGTCTCACCCAGGGGTCCGAGTGCGTAGGGTATACCGAATTTCAAGTGACCTTGGCCTTGCCCCTTTTTCGAGCACAAGCCCGTATTGGTGAGGACCAAATTGTATTACCCAAAATCCATTGCTGAATGAGAATTTTTTGAAGAAGGCGGAAAAATTGCGTAACTTCCCTTTCTGAAAAATTATTTTCATAGCCTGGCAACCCGTCTTACATATGTGAATATATAGTTTGGCTACGACCCACAGAGAGAGGTCAGTCATGGGGCAGAATCTACGGCGTTTTTTCGGATAGTCTCTGCTCACTACTGGACACTGAGCAACATGACGTACTCATCGCTACGGATGTCATTGAGGCAGTCCGACTCCGCCACACACTGTCGAAGAAGATGCAAATACATCCTTTTTCCAATTAAATGACTTAAGCATCTCTGTCTGCTCTTGACTCAAAGAAATGCCCATTATTCTTGGCATAACTTCTCCTTTATTTCCCCTCGCCGCAGTTCTTGATTGACAGCAGCTCATATACTCACACACCTATACCATATCTGATCTTTCCTAAGGGGCAGTTGCCTGTTTTTCTAAAACTAACCACATCAGTAACCCAAGTAACCAGTAACTCACCAATGTAATCCAACCAGATCTGATGGGACTGTAGGGATGGGTATGGAATTCGGTACTTTTTAAGGTACCGACCGAATTCCATAGTACCGACCGAGCACCGATTCACGTCATTTCAAACGGTGCCTCGTTTCGGTACCCATCCATCCTAACGAGAACTTGCCAAGACAGCTGCGCAAGAGCGTTATGTCGTCGGTCGCTGCGAGCGAGTTGTAAACAGAGCAGCATGGTAGAAAGAACGCACGCTAACGCTTGGGTCCACTTCACTAAATGTGATGGGTAACTGGGTGATGATGAAACCAGCGACAACGATCTAAGTGAGACAACCTCATCTTAATCTGCTCCGGTAGGTAAATATAATTAGCTTGATATGTTAGCTTCCGTTTCGCTAATGGTGCATTCGCTTTCTCCCCGGAACTCCGAAATTCCGACTAGAAGAACATGAACGCGCTCTAAAGTTTGGCTTCACTTTACTAGATGCGACGGGTGATTGGGTGAAGATGAAACCAGCAACAACGATCTAAGTGTGAGGCATCATCGTTTTAATCTGCTCCAGCAGCTAAATAAACTGTTTAAGATAACGTTAACTTGATATCTTAGCTTCCATTGCTACCATTGTTATCAGCTAATGGTGCGTTCGCTTTCTCCTCGGAAATTCTAACTTCCCAGTAGGAAAAATCTATTGAAAAAGGACGGTAAAAGGAATGAAGATACACAGTAAATTTAGTTCACAGTAAAGATGTTTGCTTCAGTTTAATTATCAGCTTATAAAACTACAAGGACGATGTTAAAATACAAACAGTTGTATGTTACTTATCGTGATATTTATCAAATATGGTTATATATTGAGAAAAATATATATCTAATTATAAAAGAGAATTAAAATATTAAACACTCAAAAGTATCGAAAATTGGTACCGTTAAGTACCGGTATCGATTCGTAGGTACCGGTAATTAGTACCGGATCGATTCAAATGTCAAAGGTACCCATCCCTAGATGGGAGACACCCGTCTGGTTACCCAGCACAGAGCACATAGTACTGATTTCCCATTACAGTATCTATTCTCTTCTTCTTAAGCAATCTGTAATCAAAACATACATAAAAATGAAAAAAAGAAGAAAGTTTTACTCCATACCTGCAGTACTAAAAAAACATGATGAATGCGAATCAAATACGACGTCTTTATTGTTGTATAGTATTAGATATTGTTGCAGGTAATGACCAATGACACGTAAAGCTGAATATTTAGTGGAAGTATTTTTTTAACCGCAGCTTTAAAATTTGTAATATGGAGCCCTCGGTAACAAGAAGCACTTGAAATATCACACGCTGCTTAAGATTTAATGTTATGTTTGTTGTTGGCGGTGAGTTAGTAGATTTTTTATGTTTTTACTGATTAAATACAATGCTTCATTAGCTCAAATGTAATGGCCAGTGTTTGGATCAGCCATCAAAGAGGACTTTCAGAGGCTTCAGATCTAAACATCTAACCCCTCTGTTCAGATGTCTGCAACAGCACCGACCTGCCAGAGTTTGAGATCATCAGCCTCCTGGAGGAGCAGCTGCCGGTGTACCGGCTGCGGGCCGACACCGTCTACGGCTACGACAATGACGACTGGCTCCACACTCCTCTGGTCGCGTCGGACGCCAGGCTCGACCTGACCACGGAGCAGATCGAAGAGACGCTCAAATACTTCTGTAAGTCTGATCACATCAGACCTGGTTCAGTCTGCCTCCTGACAGTCCAGGATTTAAACTGTGCAGCCATCAAAGATTACCACTGACTCAACTTCCTGTTAGATACTCCAAAGGTGATTTAGGAACTAGCCGTCTACACTCTACTTTGTCCATTTCCTGCTTCAGTGTGAAACTGTCACACACACTCCTTCCACTAGATGGCGCTTGCAACTGTTACTGCAACTAGAACCACTAATGCTCCACCCTCCTTAATCACTGTTTGGTTGTGCCACTATATCATTTATTATCTTGATGTAACAAGTAATCTACTGGATTTGTGGATTTCAGATACACGGAAATAGAAGGAAACAAGCAAACGACAGCAAGAACTAGAGATGCTCGATGTTGGCTTTTTACCGATATCCGATACAGTGGTACCTCGTTAATCGCGGGAGTTACGTTCTAAAAATAACCCTCAATAGGCGAAATCCGTGAAGTAGTCAGCTTTATTTTTTGCAAATACTATAAATGTTGTTAGCATGCACTGCTGCTGTCGGGGTCACACACATACACGAAAAACACGCTACAATGCTCATCTGTGCCATGCACTTCGTCCAGCTTTTCAGGCTCTCGCTCTCAAGCTTGCGTCTCCTCTTGTATATAAAGGCTGATTACCACTACACTCCAGCCGTGTTGCAGCACGCTCCCACTGACACAGCTACTCTCCTCTCCCCCGCAGACGTGCGCGTCCCAGCGCACCGCCACAATGTTTTAGGGCCGTTATACTTTTCTGAGACAGGTAATAAAGTTTTCACACTTTTCTCTCCTGTTTAAAAACCATCGTAGTTTAAACCTTCGATGCAGGACACAATGCGGTGTAAAAAAAAAGCCTGCAAAATTTCACAAAAAGATCCTCAAACCTGCAAAAGGTGAACTTTATAGTGAGGGACCAATGTTAACCGGTGTTGTCTGACTTATTTGACGTTTTTGTTGAGGCCGTATCTGGTAAAATGCCCCTTCACAGACAAGCTACA